CCATACAAGTCACACAACTAGTTGCAATTTCATTGTGAACTTTATGATGTAGTTGTGCATATAAAAGTCTGTACTGTGAAGACAAACTATCGTAGCGGAATAAATCTCCTATTCATAATTTTGTGTTAAGAGAACGCCGTAAAAGAGATACTGATTTCTTGATTATGACAACTAAAACTGAACAATCTTATCAAACCGCACATAGGTGGATCCAAATTCATGCTTTTGACACAACATAATGTGGCGAAAGGATGTTGAGCTAAATAACTGTATGAGGTAAAGTACGATTAATGAAATACGTTATAATTACCTGACCACAGCTTAAAGTAAAATTATAATATTTGCTAGAATCGCATTTTTTGCTGGACAGCAGTCACGCTAGATATCTGCTTTGTTTTGAACTGTTTTTAGTGCCTCTATCATTTAGTTTTGTTTTTTGTTAATTACCAAGAATATTATGTAACGTTTCCTCATAACATTTTCTATAGTTAATCAGCAAGCGTCTGAAAAATATCTTATAGACTGTAATTAACAAAGATAAACTTACTTGTCCGGTTTAGTGCAGTACGTAATGGGCAAGAATTAACGATTTAGTGTTCAAATTAACGAAAGCAAACAAATTTTGATTCAATAATTTTTTCCTCCATAAGTGAAGGAGATCACTGCGACCTGTACGCAGCTTAAACGGAATTTTCTTCTTTCCTAGCTTCCAAATAATATCAAACCTCACTGCAAATAGTGTAAGGTTACACGACACACAAGTTTTATAACGATTTTATCAAAAACCTGTTGTGGCAAATTTACCTAGGACTCTGCGCTTCTTTTTGAAAATTATCACGAACGTCAATGAAAAGACTCCTGCATTTGATTAGCTTTCTAATGAAACGATGGAAACATACCGGTACTGTATTTAATATCTGAAGGAGATTGAAACCTCAGGTTTAACGCTGTCAACTGCACTGTGTAGTTAAGTATACGTTGGCAGTAACGATCAATTTCCATCTAAAAAAATTAGATTTCCACCGTTGTTATTCCTTAAAAGGATTACGTTGTTTGATAATGCTCGAAGTCACTCGAATTGGCTTACATGAGAAACGTGTATTGTTAGCCGTAATAATTTAGTATCTGAGGCAGAGGATTCCCTTAATTTTGTTTGACTGTGCTAGAACTGCTTTTTTTTTTGCTTGGAGACTAGCAATAAATTATTAACTATTTGCAAATGATATTGAAGTATACTCCGTTGATTTTTTCAGGCAGTCTAACTGTTTACTTGGAACACAGGATAAAAAAGAGGTAAACAAATGAGTGAACGTGTGAACTAACTGGAAACAAAAAAGTACCATCTCTGTACATTTGCTCATGAATTGCACATTAATGCAACATGCTTGGTGTTGGCCTTGTAATGTTTAAATCTTTGCCTCACTGATAGGCAAGCCTGATTGTTTGTGGGGTTAGCTAAAATATTAAGTTATTGCGGCTACTTGTACTAATGAAAAAAAATCTGTTAAGGCGAAATTTCGAAAAAGTGGAGATTTATTTTGCTCGAAACCCCATATTTTGCATAATTTTTTTCAACTTTATAAAGCCACGTCCCTCCCTCCCACTTTCCAGTGTGCTGGAGAACAAGATTTAACTGACGAGTTTTTGCCCTTACACCGACGTGTAAGGGCACGATGTACCTTCGAGGGCAAGACGTACTTGTATGTAGATGTACGCCTCCCCGGCACAATACATCTTGAAAAGATTTAACTAATTCTCTGAGCTGTGACATGAATTCGATCCACTTTCCAACTTTGACTAGCTATGTGCATCTGCATGTACATAAAAGCATTGCTCTTGGCCCAATCCCTTCCCTTATATACCAGGCAAGATATGGGACAGAGGGGTACCCCCTTACCTGTCCAATTCNCTCTGTCCCATGTCTTGCTTCAAATGTTCCTTTATGCAACACTTCGGCTTGCCCGTTGACTGCGATGTGGCGCACGTATTATTATCAAGTCAAACGGAATTGGGGATTTTTTTACATGACAAACAAGCAATTAAGATTGGCAAGCAGCTAATTGTGGAATTATACTTCCCTGTCTGTTCAAATGCATACCATGTTTCCCGATCTTGGAGTCACTGCTTAAAAATCGATACTCTTTGGTCAACGAAGAAAGTTTTGCGTTGGGAAAATACATATATCATCAGATAAGTTTTGATACGTAAGTTTCTAAAGGATTAATATGTTCTAAAAATTTGTGCATGGCATGTCATTGGTATTGTCATGGAATAGGAGAGGGTCGGCTCCTATCAAGGAGGCGGTGTGAACTCCATCTCAGAGTGAGGGTATGTACCACTCAAAAGAATAACTCAACAGCTCACAGGATTTGCGGTGGCTGTAGTATTGATCTGAGTATTTATTCGGTCTTCACTCCTGAAATGCTTAAGTTGTGATGTAATGTTAGGACTAGGATCAGCAAAGAAACCTCAATACCCTCAAGCCAGAATGCTCTAACTCCCAACCACCTACAGCAATGAATATGTAGTTCCTACAAGTAAGCTGCAACGTGCATGACACAGACATTTGGTAACGTTTCGGTTGAGTTCGGTTGAGTTCAACAGCCATTTTTATAGCCACTTAGCAGTCAATTCAGTGAACACATAGCTATTTATCTGAAGGTGTAACCAACAAGCTTACGACCAGTATTTAGGTAAGATGTTCACAATCCTCGAAAGGTTTATTTTTGGGAAAAAACTGCTCAGTGAGTTTCAAAGAATTCGGTTCCAGCAGTAGTGGAAGACGGAGAAAGTGAGAGTTCTGACAATATTCGCACTACACTCCGTGATTATTCCGGTAATTTCGAGTATCAATTCACAATTTGTTGAGAATAGAATTGGCACCTTACAAACATTTAAAGAATTCCATACACATTTATGTGGGTCCCAAGGTCTCCATTCAATAGCTATAAATTGTTCCCAAACTTAGTATCACAAGCTGCACTACTTTAGGGTGGATGGCTGTAGTTCTTTGTTTTCATGAGCAAAGAGATGTCTCCCGAGATGCAGTGGGCAGTAACTTTTACTGCCACCAAACATAAAAAATTCGCGGGGTATATCGAAATATTTCATAGAGAATATCAACCCAAAATGTATTTAAATGTCAAGCGCGTTTCTCATTGTACAGCACGCTGTAATTCTTTGTGTCTATCAAGTAAACAAGCCTTTCACAGTTAAATTTGAATAAAACACACTCAATTCTTTAAATTCATGTGAATATATAAACATGAAATCTAAATTCTACCGCTTAACCTCATGATTTGTGGTACGCTCTAACTTAGTTCCACCGTACATAAGAGTCGTCTTGCACGAATACACTGTTTTCAATGGATAAGAAGGGCACAAAGGAATTAGTCCATTCCAGAGTTGGTGGTCGCTATGCAAAAGCTTGCCCCAGATCACGAAGTACATGTATATAGAAACAGTGTTTTTAGTCTGGTGAATTCAAATTGTTATGTTTATGTGCTATCAGATGACTCAGTGTACCAGATTTTATTCAAATTTAAACCGCAAAAGGCTCATTTTGATCTGTCAAGTTTTTAAAGAATGAACAGTTAACTGTGTGTGTGTGGGGGGCAGAATTTCCCTCCAAATATACCTTATGATGCTGAAGCCGCTCCCTCTCTCGGTTGTACCACCAGGAACTTGAATGTATGGCAACGACTATGTCAGTGCTAGCAGTTTAAGATACAGGTGTGTTGTGTATCTCCTTTTTTTTTAGAAAAAAATGAGAAAACCCCAAGGCTGGTTTCAAGCTCCCAGCCCCCCAACGCGCCACTGGGTATTTGTGAAGCTTCATTTCAATCCAGATTTAATTATTAACTCACGAATGTCAGCACGTGTGCATCAAATTCGTTAACTGGAAAAAAAATGACATCTTTGCTTACCTGTCTGGGTAAAATGAGTATTTAGTGAAAACAGTGTGTTAAAAAATGATTGCAAATATTTTAAATAAATTACTGCTAGCGTTCTATCAACCTGGAAAACCCAAGAATGAATAGACGAGCTCTTCTCCCACAAACAACAAAGTCCGAGCCAGTTGCTCTCTGCCACGGTGGCAGGCAAAGATTTAACAGATGGAAATATCAAATTGATTTTCCCAAGCTATAATCCTTTTCAATGACTTGTTGACGCTCCTTTTTTTTAATAGCTATATTTCAATAAACAGCAGCTGCGCCCTTTTCTTGTGGGCATCTGCTGTATCGCTGCATTGATTTTGCTTTTAAATCCTGAGTCATTTTGGATTTGGATGCCTCTGGCAAGAGGTTGTGGCAGGATGATAACGGAACAAAATTGCTGTATATCCGGTCCTGTTGTGTGATAAAATAGACCATTGGTTACGCCCTCATCATGTATCTATTTACATTTATTCAATTATTCTTCTGGTTTCTTTCCACGAACTGCTGTGCTCTAGAATAATATTCTGCTTTCCAGACTGTATGTAAAAAATAGTAACTTTATAATCGAGGGAGTAAAATACTAAAAATTGTCTGTTTTTCAATCAGAGGTTGCCGTTAAGCGACTTAAAGTGTAAAATCATGTCGCATCCAACTCACGGGCGTAAATCACGGGAGGATTAGGGTATATACCATTCACACTTTTTGAGGTGGGGGATTTGCTACTGAATCATCCATCACACTTTCTTGTGATAGCAAAACAGTTAAAGCGGATTATGAAGTATGTTTATGATTTTATAAAGCCATATGCCATTCTGATGAAATATTCTGCATAAATTTGTTACACTTTACAAATGTATGGATGTGGGAACGATGTTCATTGTCACAAACATCGCCCCCTATATAATACATATGTTGCCCCCTCCCCGCCTTTCAAATTTCCATTGCCGGGCAAGCCATCCCCCCACCTTTCCCCGTCCCCCCTTGCCCCCAAATTTCCAACATGGATTTACGCCACTGATCAAACTGTTGTCACAGCACAAGAACAATTTTGAGCATGAACGGAAACTGGTCTCCACCACAGTTTTCACCTATCGCAGATTTTGTTGTTGAAGAACACTAGTGGACGCTTTGACTGCAAAAAAGTCTCTCTGGAGCTTCGAGGTTACGGAAGCTTTATCAAGTCTTCTGCTACACTGGGAAAACCTCAAAAACAGATAATAAATAATTTTCAACAATTTCCGGCAGCATTAAGGAGGGGCAAAATGACAACTTAATTTTAATTTATCCTTTTTTATTTCATTCGTGATTGTTACATTGGCGGTCGATAGAAACTTTGAAGTTGGCCATTTAATAACACCGCAAATCGTTATTTCTTACCATTTCCTTCGACTTCCCATTTGTAATAATTTGTACACGACAATCGCGTGATAACTTTCACGTCTGGTGAAAAGATACCAATGCAACTGCACGAATGCGTGTTCGTACATACATCCGATGGACAGTTACCGGCCGTGTGCTTTGGGGTACATTGCATTGTGAATTAGTTGGTTGTAAAATGTAAAATGCCCCCAGCTTAACTCTGTCTAAATGCTGCTCAGATGTGGATCAGAGTTTCCATTGCTGTAAATGTGTGAAATGCTATCCAGCAATCGCTTTAACAAAGCGTTTCCAACATCGCAGAGGACTCTCTTAGTGGAATCTATGGCCACGTGTGACAGAATTTCTCTGTACTTCCTTCAGCAAAATACAGGGATTCTTTACAGTTCCAGTTGAGATTGTTCATACTAACCCTGGAAATGCACGCCCACGTTGAACTGTTACCCACGGACCTCAAGCAGTGGCGTGAAAAGGGTGATAAAAATGAAAGTTCCTAATTAATGAAATTTAGATCCGGCATTACTATACTTTTTTCAACCGTGGTATTAATTAAAGGTTTACCTTGATTTAAACTGTCCCATTGTTCATATTTCATTTTCATGCAGGTATGTTATCTACATTTTTCCCACTCTACCAAATTTGTGCGCTGGGTGGGCAGCTTTTCTTTGGAAGGTTAAAACTTGACTCCTGTTTTACATTTGCTATGGAAAAAAAGAATGAAAGAAAACTCCCTGAGGATGTAAACATTGTGACTGTTATTAGCTAGAAATTGGTTTTTCCATTATCACAAAAGAACAGCTGCTTGACAAAATAACGCATCTGCAAAATGTTTTATAATTAAAACACCACAGTACTGTGTCCATTTGTGTTGCCAGCTCAGCAGTTTTATCAACCAATCTAGCGAAAGCATTTTGAAATTTAAGTACCAATTCAATTGGAATCACAGGTTTTAAATACCTTTGAAAGGAAAACCAATTGGAAGGAAAGGCTAGTTTAATGCATGCATAGTTTCGGTATAAATACGAGTGCTTGTTGGCGGCTTGACCAAGAAGCCTGCGAAAGTGTAATGTGGCATTGGGTTTTGTCTTTACTAGCTGAATACTACACAAACTGGAACGAGGTTGATAGACTGGACGAAAACGCAGCTGGCCGGCTGTTTCGCGATGGCCCTCCACTTCTGGTGTTTTGTACTTCTTGTGACATCTTGGTCTGTAAGGTAAGGTTCGCTATGATTGTTCAATCTTAGACGTTTTGACACTAGCGTCGTGTTACATATGCCGAATACGTTCCGTGATTTTTTTGGGGGGAAGTATCGGTACCCATACACCAACAGAAAATGACTGTGACGTCATCTTGAGATAAAACACTCTCAACGATTCGGATATGGCATTTCCTTAACTCCATGAGGAGGGGAGGCAATTAATTTTTTTGTTATGCAAGAGGCCATACCGGCTACTCAGTGGCGTAAATATGGGGGGGGGGGGCACCTTCCCCCATTGTGTGAATAATTTGTTTTGAATGAGCCTCAGGAATGAGCGTTACATTTAAGAGCAATTTATTTTCTTGTGGCGCCAACTGTACGATAGAATATGCAGTTAATCAATTTACGGCGTCGGTGCGATTAACAAAACAACGCACATTGTTATGAAATAAAACTTTCGGCTAATTACTTTTCCACAAACGATTTGTTGTTTATTTTGTCACGGTGATGTTAACCAAGCATAGAGCGGTCGGTGATCACCTCAGGCATCTTGTAGCAATAAATAAATTCATGTCAATGTTTAACCATTCTCTGCTATTGTATTTTAAATCAATTAATTTTAGGGTAACGGTCAAGCAACCATATGGCTATGGGGACACGTCTATGACAAAGCTTATAACCTGTCTAGTAATGCATGCTTTTCCTCACGTGTTTTACCATTTTTTAACGTACATTTCCGGGCAGAATTAAATGACGGTTTCTTTAAAGGAATTTAATGAATTTTAAGAATAAATAGCAAAATTATATCATGTAAAAAACATAATGTTCAAACTGAGAAAACAATGTACTGAATCAGCTGTGATTTGTGCAAGTTCAAATAATTGTAGTACTTTTGAATTATTTTATCCTTTTTCATTACGGAAACGTAAACCTTTAGGCCTATTTTTAAATAAAAGAAGCATGGAAAGTGACCTATGAAATTTAAATGAATTTCAGTACAGTGTTTCCTGTGAGTCTCTAGAATTGAAATTAAGGCTTTTTTCATTTAATTGATAAAGCTTTTCAGTGTTGACTCATTGACACCAGACGGGAAAACACGTGGACAGTTTGGACATTATAATGTAAAACCTAATGCGGGTCTTGGTGGAACTTGAATGTTTATACACTCAACAAATCACAATTGAACCGACCCAAAGTGACAACAATGCCAAAGCAGGACCGTAGACAAGATGTGTGAAAAATGAAAAAAACAAACAACCAAGCAAACAAACAACCCAAAAAACAAACAAACAAACATAAGAAACAGAAAAAAGCAGGGTAATTATTATCAGATTTGAGTGGCTTATTGAATAAGAAAATGGTCTATTAATTCGAGAAATGACATTCTTGCATTAGAATTTTTTTCTCTATAATCAATTTTGACTAAATGCGCATCATAAAGCATTACCTTCCTGAAACGCAGCGTGCCGCCATCGTACGGCCGCATATTTTGTACACACATAATGGGCGATGACCTAAAACGGAGACCAATGGTTGCACTACACCAAATACGCTCCCATAGAAAACGGTGCAAAATCAGACCGAAATAGCGCCGAGTTTTTCACTGGAATCTAACCGCCCGCCTCTATCCGAAATAGGTCCGCAATTCGGTTTTTTTGTGAAAGAAATACCCCGAGCTGGAAACTATCCGTCCTAAATTCGGGATTTTTAGAAATATTTCTCTGATCCCTCCTGATTATGGCATGTCTCGTTGTAAAAGCCCCGCGCAACCCTGAAATATTAAGGAGCTCTCGCCCAGGAATCCAACAATTTGGTGGAATACACGCATAGGGCCTACAAGATTTGCTCATGAAAAATGAAAACTGAACTTAACTCTGTCTCTAAGGGCGCCCCTAATTTTACCAGTACTGAGACAACGGCGAGAGCACGACGCGACGGCACGACGTAATGCATTATACGCAGAATAAAAGTAATGAGAAAGGAGGCGACGCCACGACGCGACGGCACGACGTGACAGAGCTGTCGTAGCGTCGCGTCGCGTCCCGTCGAGGCGTGGCGTCGTGGCGTTGGGGCGACAGGACGACGTGAGTTTGCGACGCACATTTGAACATCATATGAAGCATGTGTTTCTCCGGAAAAAAAACTTGAACCATTTTTTTCGGATTAAACCTACCCCCACTCAAAACCTGGTTATGCCATTGCCAACCAGATTGGTATTTACACGGCTTATGAAATGGAACTGTTTGGGTAACCAGTCTAGATTTTGGTGAATTCATTATTTTCGTCCACTGCTTCTCATTGCTCACCTCTTCTTACGTCTCACCTCAAGGGCATACAATAGGAACTTAACCATAAATGCATATAATATCCATTTGCTTTGTTACAATGAGCGCCCGTCATTCAATCCATGTACATGCGCGTACTGTATGCAATGTGCAGAATAACGAGCCTGAGGTATTTTAAGGCGGTCGCTTGGCATACATGTATGTTTCTTGCTAGCAGTTCATTACGATGGATAATCGTGGATTTTATGAGTGTGTTTTGCTGATTTTTGATTCATGAAACATTACAGAGCTAGGCCTACAGTTGTTCCATCTGTCGCGTGTATAGGCCTACTCATAAAAAGTCAGTTCGCAATGTCACTTGGTTTCCTGAAACTTGAATCTCTTCCATGGCTGCCTGTGGAAGACAAGCATCTTCCGTCTTTTCCCGTCCCCAATCTGATGCTTGGATGAACATTCATTTCCCATTTAAGATCCATTTGTGCCTAGATATTTTCATAAATCGGGTAGATCTATCGGGTGTTGCATATCAGGGACCATTCACAGTACATATTTTCGGGGTATAGGCTACTTGGTTATTTGAGACTTCGCTCAATATCTGGATGGTCACGATTCATAACACGACTCATGATATTTAAATAAAGAAAGCCTTTAAGAGGAGCTTACTCGTAAATAATTCAGTATGTTTCTCACGCTGTTTCCTGATCCATCTTGCCGATCAAACACCTGCTAATTGGTGCCAATCGACTCTGCAATAAATCAGTTACCACGGGCAATTCACAATGACGTGCGCCACCAAGAGATGGCCATGGAAATCCCTTTCTGCGCATTATGGGGAAACGGTCGACTAGGTTCGGCAAGTGCACAAATTTGAAATATTTCCAATATTTGTTCCTCTTGGTTGAAAATCCAACAGTGTTTGTTGAGCATCGTTGTTAATTATCAGAGATGTTAATTTTCGAGGCACGGAATTCCCCGATCAATCAAACAAATCCTCAAGTTGTGTTCTGACATTTGTTCATTTGCAACTTGCCGGGAGTCGGCTATGATTTTGTCGACGGTAAATTTCCAAATTGACCCCTCTCTAGCAACCTTTTAGTGGCGCATAATATTGTAAACTGCCTGTCATCAATGAAAATGAAGAACATTGGTTGTCAACTGTCATCGTAAAACAGAGACTGTTGGATCGATAAAACGAATCTTGCTTCGGACCACTGGGGGTTTACAGATAGGCTTACGTTATCTTGGCCTGTGCGTTTGATGCCGCATTGGTAATGGTGAGAAGACTTCCACATGTGTTGACTGGCACTGTAACACAGCGTTGCCAAATCTTAGAATTTACCAAACTTGAAAAACAAACTTGGACCGTGGTACTTATTTCCTGAAATTTTCTATGGTGAAAATTCTTCCTGTATTAACTTTTCTCAGAATACAGTATGTACAGGTAATCAGATATGAATTACACTAACAATGCGAAGTCAGTACAAAGAAACTTTAAATGATAAAACAGAAAATCTGATTAGTTTTTTTTAAATAGACTCCCGGTCCCCAAACCAGACCAGTAGTATCCTTTGGTGTTCTATAATCCCGTCAAGTTTTTGACACATTGTTTGTAATGTTAAGAAAAATGTTGCACGTGTAAGAATCTCCTTTCAGATTTCCTTTGAAATTTTCTGCGGCATTAATTATAAAGCATACTGCAGCGTTCCTCCACGATTATAATTTCTTATTAATTGTTACCCGTCTTCCCATTATAGATGCAGTGAAGGGAAAGTTCAAGACGATCCACAAAACTGCACAAAGGTGGAAAAAATATACTACCCAAACGACTTCTTAGTGGGAGGATATCTAACAAACGTTCTAGAAGACAATGCCAATCAGCGATTCGTGCGGAGGTACAGTAACCTTTTCCGTATACATTACAGTAGTGATTAGCAGTTCTGACCGCTAGAACCCTAGTGGGATATTATATTAAATGAAGGAACAAACCCGACCAAACCATAATAATACCAATTAAACCAGGACATGCCAAGATTGGCATGATTATTTATTTATTAGCAAGAGTTTAAACATAATGAGCCTTATGCAGGCCGAAGAGAGGGCGCAAGTTTCTTAGCAATGAAGGCTCCTTTGATCGGAACTGAACTTTTGTTGGTTCACGAACGAATATGATATGCACGCTTTACGGTCTCATTGCTACTAACAAAATGAACACCTCCGACTAATATGGCTCCTTTCAACCGATAAGAGGGTGCTTCTGCTCGAGGCGTTATGAGCTTGCTTGTAGTTACAAGGAAACAACCTCCAAACTTCGTCTAGGCGAATTTTAAATGCCCTGTTTACATGTACTCATTTAGATGATGCATGGCATCATGTAGGATAATCGTGTCTTTACCAATGAGTGTGATGATGCTATGCAGCCAGGGAATGTAGGAAAAATGTGTTAGATTTCTGAATAGCGTATAACATGATAATAAATATCTGTGACACTAAGATTTTCAACTTTAAATGCAGACGCACAGTCCTTCTTTGAACTTTCTCTGCAGGTCTTATTGTTGCAACAACTACTCTAATCCACAGATTTGTGGGACACGTAAGTCATAGCTCCAATTTAATCTGAATATCACTGATTGGTCAAATTTTCTAATTCACTTTCACTTTTTTATAAACAGCATGCAACCACATTAGATTATTGCTAGGACTATAAACAAAAACAATTTAAGTTGATAAAATAATATTCATGATGAAATATTTATAAATTTAATACATGATCAAACATGCATCAAGATTGATTAATCGGTATGGAAGATATGTTTCTTATTTTCACGAGGATAGGATTGATAGTAGCCGCAAAGTCAAAGTTCGAAAGAGCATCCAGTCAGTTATCTCTGAGATATCCCCACGTGGCTTAAATACAGGCCTTGGTCTACAGTCAAACTAATTTCTAAACAAATGGAGACGAACTTGATTATTATGGCTCACAGAGAATGGAAATGATGAATTAGAGTTATTAATTGGCTCCACTTTCCATATTTGGCATTACCTTTAGGCAATACTGAATTCTCAGTTCCGATTGGTCGACCCATGGCAACAAACGGTGCGATATATAACTGTAATACACGGTTCATATCGAAACCCGGGTATTTTGCTTTTCTAACTCAGTGCAGGGCGCCACTTTTACGCCAAATGTTTATGAGTGCAATGGTAAGAATATTTTCATGAATTGAAAGATGAAATGTTCCATTCAACGAGCCTCATGAAAATATTTTTTCCGTTGCATGAATGAAAAACATTCATTATTTGTTTTATATAACAACTAAATACTTCTTTGTCATTTGATTGGAGGATAACATTGATAAATAATGAATATAAATAAGGTACTTACCTTCTGTCATCTGCTATTTCCCTGGTCCATTACAGACTTCTTCAAACTTCGTGTCCAATTGAAAAGCTCAAAAACGCGAAAAGACAAAATAAACAATGATTTAAAGTTCAAAATGGTAGCTTGTCCGAGCCTAATCCAAATAATTCAAGAATTTTCAGACACAACGCGAAATACGCTGCTCACCTCAAAGTCAAATTTTCTAAATTAAAACTGTTCACAATGCGTACCTGTTGTAACATCACAAGTTCATAACTGGAACATATTTCAGAAAAATTCAAGATATGTACATGGAGGCTTATTAAATTTCTACTTGTTTAAAAAGTTGACAGTGACATGAAAGTGAAAATGTTGAACAGAAGAGGTTGACCTGGCATTTTGGATGGTGAAGTGGGATTCTTTCCAGATGAGTTGGAAAGATGAGAATTGGACAGAAGACTGTCTGGAAGAATATCCAAGACGTGGTTATCATTTAGGTTGTTCCTGGATATGCTCTACATTGGGTCGGAGGTCTACCTCTGGCTCTTGAATATTCTCTTGCATCTGATCGGCATGTGCTGCAGCCATCAGCTGTTTCTTATCGCTGGTCCTTGAGTAGTGCTTTAATGATAACTCGGATCGGTGTCCAGTAACAGACATGATGTGACGGTTGGGGAACCCCGCTTCATCGAGCAAGGTACAAGTTGTGGCTCTCAAACAGTGTTAGTGTACTTCTTGGAGCAACCAGCATTCTCGGAGATCTTTTTCATCTTAATTTCTCAAGGTACTGACTCCCCAAGCTGCATTGGTGTACCATGGTCCACTTGGTGGCGCAGTGGGTTTAGGATGCTGCCACATACATTCTGGTGCCGGGTTGAGGACATCTTTGTAGGCCAGAAATGTTGTACTAGACATCTGCCAGACCCTGGTATCTCATACATATGACCACTGATGCCCCCGTCTTCATTTTCACGTCTAGACTTGGTGAGGGTATCACGATGAACACTGTAACGGAGGTTTGCTCATCAACTTCCACAACGAAGTCAGAAGCCTTCATATCGCGTAGATCTTCTCTCTCTATTTACGAAGTATACCATGATGTCAACGAACACTCGATTCTGAAGGCCCTTTTGTAATGTTATATCCAATGAATCCAAGATCTTTGCCATATCTTCTTCGCTCACTGCTTTCTTATGCCGGATAACTCCCTTTCCTTCATTCTTCAGCTTCATTCTTCAGCTTAACCACCATGGCTTTGTAGACATTGTTGCTCTCCTTGAAAGTACCACTGTTGGTTATATCCAAATCCCTGGATATTAAACAGTGACTGACGATGGAGCCCATACCGAATTGCATGCATTGCCTTTTTAGTGTACAATGTGCCTTCGTCTCTTCGTAGACCACCATAAAAACGCGACAGAACCTGGTCAAGTTCTGCTGCAGATCGCTGTTGTACCTTGTCTAAACTCGTACCAGCGCACCTTGCGTAAGATTCCAGTCGACATACAGCAGACTGAATTTGTTTCTTCGCATTCTTTGCGTCTATTCCGTCAAGTAATTCGGCAATTTACGCATCATCCAGCAACACGAAATTGCTTGAACCCTTCGCCATTTTAATGGTCATAGGCGTAACATGCGCCCTCTGTTGACCAATTACGCATTGGAGTCCTTTAGGTGCAACAGATGAAACTGCATAAACCAAAATGCATGGTGTATATAACAAATTTCAACGTTTGTGACGTAAGCCATGAAGTAGTCTATTTATAAAACATCAAGGGACCTAGAATTCTCCAATCAAATCACAGAGTTCTGCTTGGGTCTTGAATATTATTCCTTGTTCCACAAGCGCAAGCGTGATAACGAATTCATCCTCAAAGAAACTTGACGCGCAGTAAAGATGTTATAGGGGCATGTGTGCACAAACGTGCCAAATTTGAATTAACAGTAAAGTTTGCATTACGTGGGGTTTGACATGGACAGCGCAATACGTTTATATGTCACACTGTTTATTGCAATGGATCGACCAATCAGAATTGAGAATTCAAGCGAAGATAAATGTCCATGTGTACGCGATAGTGCACGGTAAGGGGACTTGGATCTAAACTAAACTACACACGCATCTTCTAAAAGATCTATCATAAATTATAATTTATGGCTCAGATTTGACAAGTGTACTTGTTCGGAGACAAAATAACGAATGAAGCAGTATAAATCTGGTATTGAATCGATTGTGACACGGATTGTCTTGTTAGTGCCAGCATTCGTCGTGGGTTGAGCCGGCGATGGATCTAAGAATCATCTGCTGTTGTTGTTTTCTCTCCTTCCGATGCCTTTTCTTCTCTGTTAAGTTGCTGATACGGTCCTGCTCAAATTTCTTCACGCGGCCGAAGCAGTGTTTTTGCCACATCTTTCGGTTGAGAGCAATTGTCTCCCATTCAATCTTTGGGATGCTGCAAGGCTTGAGGTTGGCTGTGGGCGGGCTTATGTCGTTTTATGGGGGAGCCACCTCATTTTTTTGCAGGGCTTTGGGCAAGCAGTGGCCTTTCATCCTCCCTTGATGCCTTAGCAAGGGAAGTTTAAATTGAATACTCTTTTCCATTCATACTACATCGGCACAGGACTTCGGTGTTTTGGACATTGTCTTTCCACTTGATGTACATGATTCTCCTCAAACATCTCTGTGAAAACTGTCCAAGCTCGGAATCTGAATATCACCACGGTAGAGTGTCCAGGTTTTGTAGCCTTCCATCAAGTTGGACCTGGTGACTACACGGTAGATATATGTACTAATTTTTGTGGAATATTATATATATTGTGTTGCCCAGAGGCGTGAATGAGATGAACTGTTACAAAGTGGTGTTTGCCTTGCTGATGCGGGATATAACTTCAGAATTGGTAGCGCTATCGTTATTAGTGAAATTACCCGAGTAGCAAAACTTCTCTGGAGCCTTCAGTGAATGAACACAGAGAAACAGAGTTCTATGTGAAGTGGATCTGGTTTCGGCTGGAACAGGACTTTGGTTTTTTGATGCTGACTGTGAGTCCATAACAATTGGCAGATTGTAAGAAGGCTTCCACCAGGCAATGTGCACCATCCTCTGCATGGGAGACGGGGGCAAAGTCGCCTTGTATGAAGATCTGTCGGAATTTGGTCTTGGCTTTGAGGCGGCTGAGGTTGAATACACTGCCATCAGGCGAAGGTGGATGCTGAGCCCCTAGTTACCCGGTCCCTTCATTGCGTTGCTGATACTAGGACATAAAAAGGCACAGCCTTTAGTGTCGTTCCTTACAACAAAAGGCTTGGACTCATCACAACTGGAAAAGCCTTTTGCCTTTATACCAGTGTGAAAGGACCAACATCTCTTGGCAGACAAGGCGTTGCGATAATGTCCACAAGTCAAATGCTTTTGTTAGATCGTCAAAAACGATGTACAAGTCCTTGTGCTGTTTGTATTGTGTATGCTGTTCTTTGGTATTGGTTGAATCAGGGAAAAGAACATGTGGGTGTTCTACAGTTTGTTTCCAAGCCGCATTGGCTCTGGATAGAGTTCTTTTGCAACAACTAGGAGTCGATTAACGATAATGCGACTCAGAATTGTCCAGGCTATTGAGAGCACAGCAATTCTGCTGTGGTTCTAGTCTGTCAATCGCATTTCTTTTGGTACAGCTGGACAATCCTGGTGTCTTTGAAGTTTTGTGGAGCACACTATTCAGGCCAAATGCGGAGGAATAACCTATGAAGCTGTGAGAGTAGGTGGGGCCGTTATGTTTGTAGACTTCAGATGGGATACCCATCATCACCAAACGCCTTACCCAACTTCAGTTGCTTCACAACTTTATCAATTTACAATTTTATTAAGTGCTATTGACATCACCAAGTGTGACATTCCAACTTATTGGGTGGATGTTGTCAATGGTTACATCATCGATGTTGAATGTTTATACTGGGTTTCTCTGCCCACCTTTGAAGTGTCAAAGATGGTCTGCCGATCGCATGGGCGAGATCCCACTGAATCTGGCAACACACACGGTCTCTAAGTTCTTATTAAAGTCTTGCATGTTTATGCAATCTGCAGAAAACAGAGGAGAGGAGTCGGATCATTGTCGTCGAACAATTCCTGATGTTACCGTTTAGCACGTCCAATTGCCTCAAATTACGTACAGCTTCCCACTCAACCATACATGAGTCGGATGCTAGCTCGGTACAAATGGTGGTTGTTTTTAGTTTCACCAGGTTTAGCTTCGGGTTTCGTTGAAATCGCTCGCTGGAGAGTCGTTTTCAGCTTGTTACGCAATACGTGAAGACTTCCAAACTCAGTAGAACGTATCTGGTGCCTTTTTTGGTGGGCTGGGATTCACCAGCAAACCTTGTTTCACTCGAAGTGCTGCGAAAACCTACACCTGTCTGGGCAAGTAATCGAGCAACGATAGCTGTTATTGGTTTAGAATTACTTGTATTGTCTTGGATCCTGTGAACGTTCCACACACTAAAAGTGTAGATTCTACGTTTTGCTAGATTATTTCGACTGCGATGTTGGATGGCCAGGCGGCGGGGGTAAACAAACAGGCTAATAGTAGATTAGCTTCGTTTAGGTCCCTTTTTTAACTTCCCCTAAGGGGGGGGGTACTTTCCGTGGAGAGGACTTCTCCGACACCCCAGCAGGACACCAACACTTCCGTCACCTACAGTCAGAAGGAAGTAAGCAGCCTTTACACGGAGCCACCTCTGTGCGGCGTTGGGACTAGATACATCTAGTGTCATCCTCCATTTGTCCCTGTCACTCCTTCCCCATCTACATAGGACTTCAAGACTTTGCAAATGAGTGGACGGTCTTCATGCACAGCATAAGATTACAGCGAGAGTGAAACCTTCGCCACAGCCAGTAAACCCAGTCTTGAAATGCAAAACGTGAGCATAGCATTATCCAGCAGAATAGCCGGAACAAATGACGAACGTACGGGTTGGCATCCTGTCCAGTGGCACGACTGTCGCGATACCCGCAGACGCTGGCCTGTATTGAAGTTAGTTTCTGGTAACACGGTTGGCCTATATAGGAATTCCTTCGCTAATATATCATAGCCACCGTCCTGCTGCCAAAACGAAATCCGAACGCATTGTAATATTTCAAAGTCATGGTGTCATACTCTCCTATTAGTAAGTGCTTGATTCTTTCAAACGTGTGCAAATATGCCTCGTACTTGCGCGAACGAGGTGCACGTGGACAACTCTATTAGGAAGTAGTGACGCCTCAAAATGTGCGCAAGTGCTAGTTAAAACCAGTTCATGAGTGTAATGGCCCCATAATGGAACCTTCTCGGATTTGTCCATACTTTGGATGCAAATTTTGGAGATAAGGACAAGAACCCGACCCCAACAACAAATCTTCGCCAGTTGTTGAGCAGGAAATCATTATGCATGCGTTTTAACATGCCTATAAGTGTATCTTTTTCTGTGCATCACAGATCAATTAGTGTTAAAATTTTAAAAGTTTAATAACGATATGGATCTTCAAAACCTTCAAAAGCTGCCTCTTGGATTCAAAGTTGTAGTTTTATTTTCCTTCCAGCATACTGCTTTCCAGAGTGTCCAGAGGGATCCGGACATTGCAGCTGGAGAAACAGATCGTGTACAGCCAACGCTCCTCGTAAGGCAAAAATCCCCAACTCGTCAATGTTATTCAGAAGATGGATTCATGTAGTTGAATTAAACGCTTCCAAACAAGAGAACACATATATATGGCTTGAATGAACGAGCTGTATCTGTGACATGGTGAATAAAAGCCCCACATTCTTTCACTCATCCTGAAACATATCGTACAAAACAAACGTCAAACGCAGCGCGGGTTCGTGTAAATGCATATTCAACATGGGTAATTTGTGGTCGATAGACGCCTGGTTCTTCTGATTTACTGAACGTATGCTCAATTCATTTTCAAGAGATGACAGAGTTTTTCAAGAACAGCGACGAAGTATACTTTGCATGTACATGTGTATGTACAAATATATTTAAGGCGTTCTTATTACTGTTGATTGTTTTCCAGCATTGAATGAGCGTCAAACCCCAGCTCCAGAAATTCAAAATGACGGTAGGTGTGGGTGTTAAACCTCAACTGACTTTACAACATTCCCCTCTTCGCCAACGTTTGGCCATTGGATGAAGTTGACACAATTGTGGATTACAGGAGACATGCAATGAATTTTCTTGGACTCAGCTATTGCACTCTCCTTCAGTGTATGAAAACTATTTGAAAATAACAAGCAAACCTTTCGGAAAGAGTAGGGGCGCTCTTGCTGTGTTGTAAATCAGGAAAGCTGCTAATAAGTGTACGTGTTTTTGCGTTCAAATTTTGAATCTCAGATTTTCTCTTGTGAGACATTTCTCATACAGGAAAGGGTGCTCGCTGACTTTTTGCTGTATATTTACACAACAGCAAATTGCCAATGAAAAGAAAATTTTTACAGATGCAAAACATAAGTAACAGCATTTGTTGGAGATCCATGGAACATTAAAATGCTGCGCCGTAGATGACTTCTCAGTTTTCCTCATAGTTATGCGAAACTGCATTGAAACAAAAAGACCTGAAGTAAAATTACAGTGAAACAAAACTTGAAAATAACGTCAGTTGAAACACAAAGATGTAATTTCAGTGGTAGTAGTAAAATATTTACCACACGGTCCCTATTAGTAAAACTAAACCACATTTAGAATTTGCACAGTGTGAGAGCAAAACAATAGAAAACTTTGAAATGTGTCATCATGTTGTTTTTTTCAGCTCCACAAAGATGGTTGTTCCTGACATCTCTTTAAACTTCGATTAAAATCACATCACAAATTAAGGGAAAAGAAGAAAATTAATTACACAGAATGGTTTGACATTGTTTATCAAAATGAATATTACAATAGTTAGGTCAGTGCTGATTCTTCATAATGAGGTGTTAAAATGTCCAATGTGACAGGAGAGTGCAGCATCTGCTGTGGCGGTTCAGTCAGAACTTTTGATGGCCTGTACTTCAACTTCCCAATAATGTGTCGTCAAATCTTGACGCATTACGAGCACGAAACAGATTCGTTTACCGTGGACATCATTCCTAATTACAGCTGCAACGCCAGTGAATGCTTCAGTGCTGTGAATATCACGTGAGTGTTTTCAACTTGCAGATGAACTCTTTATTTTTTGATGGAGTTGGGTATAGACTGTTGTGGTGTAATTATTTTCACTGAAAGCATCAGAACCTTAGAAACGGTAATGCCACACAAGATCGGCAGTTGATAGTTGTTTTACAGGTGAAAAGTCAATTGTCTCCGCTACTGCATCAAAGATCAGAATACTACACTGATTAAATGATTTCAAAGCAATGTCAGATAGCGCATTTTGCATTTTTCCCAACATGGAAATCGCTGTCACATGACCACAGTGAGCGGCGGGGCATGACACTAAGGGTATTATTTACGTTGTACCAAAGGTGTGACCTGTACAGAAAGTATAATGAAAAGTAAAGGAGTCCGACATTCGCTCCTTCAAAAGATGAAAAAAGGGCATTGCATATCCAAACATTATTTTGGCCAACTTACAGATCTTAGGGAAAAAACAATGGATTATCATCATTTCAAGATCTGGAACCCGCTGTTTGAAAGAAACGTTACATTTGTAAGCATTGTAGGAACGTGTGACCACAGGGTCCACCCACCTACGAAAATTCGGGAGCCTATCAAAAATTTGAGGACCTACGAAAATACCACATGGCACCACAAAATACACATTTTTAAAGCATTGCCAACTCGTTTTGCTCAATTTTTGTAGAGCATCAGTATGAAATACAACCTAGCACCGACATGGAATTCAAACTCAAGTTTTTACCAGCACCATGAATTAATTATGGAAAATACTGCTTTGACGGAGTGAGGAAAACGTAACTGTTGCGAACTGGCCCATGGTGTTGCAGGCCATTTGGGCGTACAAACTAATTTAAAACTAAAAGCTTTAGGTAGTACCAAGAAAAAAAGGTCTGCCACGTAGGTCTTAAAGGCCTAAGTCAGCGCAGACACACTGTTAAAACAATAATCAATGTGTTAAATCTTCTCTGAAAAAAAGGATCCCTGGGTTCACACAGAACATCCTAATGATAGAATTGCTTCCCCGTGGAGATGTTCTGGCAAATAGCCGATCAGTCAACACGCCATTCGAGACCAAGTTGGGACACAAGGTCTTCAAGGAAGGACTTAGAGTTGTTTTCCTTTCAGTGGATGGTAAGAACTTCAGTGTTGAATATAATATTCATGTCGATAGTCACTATCCAGGAAACTGCTCAGTGGTCCGATTTTCCTTGGGAGTGGTACATAATACATCATTTTAACTAATGTGATCTGTCTACCAATTGTGTTGATTGAGAGCCACTGCTGGAAGTTACGGAGTGGGTTGTTACGCCCACTCGAATCCACCACTAGTATCAGTCCCAACTTCTTGGGTGGGGTGTGGAAATATGGATCCCAAGGGTGAAGTGTTAAACCGTTGCAGTCCACAAGAAAATCATTGTTGTGGATATAAGTTTTGGTAGTAATTGCTGTTTCATTGTACTTTATTATTTCCCTCGAAGGTGGGACTTTTCGTCATCAGGAAACTGTTGACAAAAATTTAACTTTTCAAGTGAAAAATTCTGAAGGACTTGTAATAACTGTGTGGCCTTACCCAAGGTCATGTTTTGCGTGCGGCAAGCATGTTTGTATTAAATTAAGGAACATTTTAAATTACATGAACGATTTTCAGTTTTTTTCAGCTCATGTAATTTTGAATAATTTTTGTTGTCACGTGGTCCATATTACCCCAAGCACTAAAGCTGGGGACTTGCCATTTATAATGAAGACAGACTCTATTGTTGAAGCGCAACAAATGTAAACCGTTATCAACCACCCAGTGTAAGTAATCTGCCCTGTTTTGCAAGGAAGCATGTGTGCATGTTTTGTGCAAATGCTATACTTTGGCCTATACGATTTCGTAGCAGTGTACCTTTGTCTCTCCTCATCTGGTCAGGTACGAAGCAGACACGGGCTCTTCGGTGGTACATGTTGTAGTTTCATCACAGTCAGATTTAGACACATTGTCAACTGTATCCTCTGTTTTCAAGATGTATTTTTTGGGGGGGGTGTTAATTTTATATAACGGGTTTTGCCCTTACCCAGCATATATATTGATAAACACGGTATGCTCAGTGCTTACGCTGATTTTTGCAAGCTCTCGGACATGCACTGAGCATACAGTGTTTATCAATATATACGTTGGGTAAGGACAAAACCCGTTATATAAAATGTACCCACAGTTGTTTGCAATCAGGGAGTCAGGTTGGCAAGGTAGTTCTATCCTCGCCTTCCACCTCTGTGGAAGGCGAGTGTTTGATTCCCGGCCCGGTCCACAGATGGATTGGGTTTTCAGTCCCTACCTGATTCCTCTGAGGTTTTCCTCCCACCTCTAAAACTGTAACTGCTTCTTACTGTCTCCTGTTTACTGATGTTGGTGAATGTGGGTCGTTTGGCGGCTGCCCTAGGAGCCCTTGTATGCCGTCGGCTCAACCATCTTTAAATGTATTCATTGTTCCATGCTTAATGTCTTTATCGTACAGCGCATTTGAACATATCTATATGAAATTTGCGCTTTATAAATGAATAAATTATTATTATTATTATCCACACAGGAAGAGTTAAAGTGTCCTTTGACGGCATCAACAGCGCTATCATAACTGTCAGTCGACTCTTTGCTGATCAAGGACAAACCTTGCAGGGCCTCTGCGGTACTTACGACAACATCCCAGATAACGACCTGGACGGTGGAACAGTAGCTGAATTCGTCAACAAATTTAGGGCACCCTGGGGCCGGTGCACTTCCCTTGCAATGAGCGTCCCGAACCTCTTCGACAGTCTCACCGACGATCAGCGGCAGAACGTTACACGGATCTGCAACGAATTTGCAGTGAGCTCGCTTGTCGCCAGAGGCAGCTCGAGAGTTCCGGTGCATCCCTTTCTGAACTCCTGTAATTTCTCCGTGTCTCTATATCTGCGGAGCGGACTGAGATACGATATCTGCAGCATTTATGCAGACTATGCACATGCGTGCTCAAGACACGGCATTCCATTTCCCTGGAGATCAAGCAACTTCTGCCGTAAGTTAGTCTATAGTCCTTTCCTCTAAGATGGCTCTCTGAATCAATTGGTTAGGGGGATTGGGGCGTATTGTTTGATTGTTTCTCATGTTGGGAGTGCATCCACCTTTCAGAATCTTTTCACACTAGGCCTACCTGTATCAGCGACATATCCAGCTTTTGTTGTGAGGGGAGGGGCAAATTCAAAAGTGAATGCTGCTCAAGCTCATTCAGCATGATGTGGGGGAGAAAATAATCAAAAGCCTTACAGTCCCGACATCATCGGGTTTATTTCGTGGTGTTTTTTTTCCCTAGTGGGTCTAGGTGCTAATATTTGATGAATGAGATATTATTACATTTATCAATATTTGATTTTGAAAAAAAAATCTATCAGCTGCCCTCCCCCATTACTCCACTGCACACTATAAGGTACTGAAGCTCGTAGACTTTCGACGACACCGGAGATTCAGTTTTCAACTCCAGCCTTTAACGAATGTAACCTCGAGAACATGTTTACCCTGCAGTACAAATAAAAATGGCGCTTAGACTTTAAACGCTTTTGTACCCACATTTCTAACTTGTTTATGCCACGTTTTATGTTTTCATATACATTTTCTCCAGCTATAAAACACATTCCTAAACCTATTTAAGTGAAAATAACGGAAAAGTGTCGTTGATAAAACGTGATAAAAAGTGGGTAAAAAGTGTTTAAAATTGGTTAAACTCTAAAGTATGTTATTTTTACAGTGTATGATATGCCTCATGTGCATTCACATTTGTTAGTATTGACATTTATATGAATATTTTTTAATGTGATCGATGACTTAATATAACTAATGTTAATGTACTCCTTTTTAACGCTTTAATGATTTGTTTTAAATTGTTTTAACAATCGACTTATTAAATCTAAGTACATGTGTCTTTAATTCGGCATGTGGCCGCGACGGACCATTTATAAACCATTTTCAATCAATTCAAAACACAACCATTATTAATAATCATCTTAAATTTGATACTTTTACTCGAATTCACACGCCCAAACTGTGGATTGCTGTTTTGATACTGACTTTGTGCAGCACATCAGTCAAGCCTGCAGAGTCAAATTCTTGTATATGATCTTGTGATGGTAAAAGTGAGCAATGTAAATATCAACAGTACCAGTCAGCCATTGGCTGGCCTACTTTTCTGTTTCCTGTTTTTTCTCTACTCTGCAGCCATACAATGCAGCAATGGCATGGTGTACAACGAGTGCGGATCGACCTGCCGGCGGACGTGCCAGAACATGTTCTATTCGGAGCACTGCGCAACACATTGCGTTCCCGGGTGCGAGTGTCCAGCAGGTTTGCTATATTCTGCAGATCAAAGGAAATGTGCAGAAAATTTTTCTTTGAATCACTTTGTATGATTCTTTATACTCTTCATGTATTTGATATCTTTTGGAGTTAAGTGCATTTAGCGCACTTTCTAAATATTAAAGATAGTCCTAACGTTTGTGGACAAATGAAGGGTTCTAGCTCTGATGTAAATCATTGAAGACACAGAGCAGTTTACATGTTTTCGCGATCAAACTTTAACCCTAAACTTGCTGTTAGAAAGCATTCCTTAGAACTATTCGTTAAACTTTGCAAGAAATTTCTGTTCTGGTCTTTACTCCTTTCCAAAACTCATTGGTATTTGCTAATGTTCAAGGAACCTACTTTGACGGGAGTTTGTGCGTTGCCCAGGAAGAGTGTCCCTGCGCTCTAGCTGAGGAAAGTCTCCCAGTCGGTGCCATTGTAAAGGATACGTGTAGAGACTGGTAAGCGGTGCACGAGCTCACGATAGAATCTTTTAAAAAAATACCTGGCAAATTTCTCCATGCAGTCGGTAAGGAAAATGTTGTAAAATATATGAAGTAAAATCTTAACAGAGTTATAAAATACAGCACCAATTTGGTACGTAGTTGTAATGGTATTAACGCAGATCAAATTTTATGTACTCGGTGTGTTAACAAATGAACAGGTTAAAATATTTTACAATACTGATTAGAAATTATGATCCCCTTTCATACCCAGTTCATCCTCCCGATTGAATTACACTTCTCATAACATATATATTCTTAGCCTTAAAAGATATCTGTAACCATTATAATGGAGTCCAACTCCTGTTCGTATTGACATTAACTTTCTTCAAATTTTCTTCGAAACTATTAGCACGTGTTTGGGAGGCAGGCTCGGGAATTGCACCGTTCACTCCTGCCCAGGTACATGCACCATCCTGAGAGGGCGCTCGTTCACAACGTTTGACGGGACAAGCTATGAATTCGATGGGGACTGCGAATACGTGCTGGTCCAGACCAGCAACAGTGACTCAGCTGGCTCCCACTTCAGCATCTATATGGACAAGACCCAGTGCAGGGCCTACGGGCTGCGCTGCGAATCGCCGCCGGTCATTAGTGTTAAGACTCCGGACGGCCACCTTTATGAGTGAGTTATCTGTGCCCGCTTGCGGTCCGTGTTCTGCAAAATAGAATAAGATTAGGAAAAACTGAGCTTAGTCTCTGTAAATAACAAACACTACAAGCAGTTTCTATTTCCGCGTCCGAACAAAGATTGAAATTGAAGGCACAACAAAGTAACTACCACGGTGGACAGTATGCACTTATTTCTTGGCGGCAGATTGGCGAGAGCAGCGTTGTTGGTGGTTTTAGTCCGATAGGTTTGGCTGCGATGACATACCTGTAATAATGACTCTATGGCGTAAGAGGAAGAGAAGCAAGTATGTATCCAGCACTGACGGTGTTGACTGCACAAATACTGTCAAATCCTTGCACATTAATAAGTGGAACAAAGGTGTGCACTCAGGGTAGGGTGACAGCTATAGCGTTATAGACTCACAGCCGTATATATATAAAAAAAACCTGGACTTGCAACGCCTTTGTGTGAAACAGAAGCTAACCAGCGGCCATTTTACCGAGCCGAATACAAATGTGCGGTTGGCTTGCTTCTTTTGACGCCGGGGAGAACAAAGGCGGGCATTGCGGGGCAAGGTTTGTGTTCGGCTCGGTAAAATGGCAGCTAGATTCAATGATCTCTTTAAGCTTGTGAAGGGCATTGCGAGTCCAGATTTTTTTATGTACGTCCATGTATAGACTCTGGACTCCATGTTCGTGTAACAATGGCCTCTACGCCCCAGTCCGTATTGCTAATTTCTGAATTAAAAAAATACGACCAATGCAATCAATTCCCTTTTTGCCTACCGCTGTTCTGGTTGAACGGCCTCACATTTAATATTGGGGATTCCCTTTAGCCAGAAAACAAAATATTCCAGTTGGCCTCTCTAGCCAAGTCCCATGGGAATTTGTATAAACAACTCTGCCACTTGGCCCCATGGGAATAGTTACACAGCTGAGCTAATTAAGGCTTGCCAGAGCCAGTCAAGGCCTGTCATAAAAGTATATCGTATCTGGCAAGCCAGAGGCACTCTCTGTTGTCTCAGAGTCATTGACTGGCTGTTGGGAGAGGACAGCTGTAGCTTGGTATGGACCCCCCCCCGACAAATTCAGCAGGAATGGAAATAAAGGTACCCTGGATTTACTTTCCCCACCTCTCTCTGCAGTTTTTAATACTTGTAGTGGCTGGAAGACACCTATTGAGCAATATAAATGCCTTTGAAAAAAATGGGAAAAATACACACCTTGACAAAAGCGACTATCGGGAAGAGGCCATCCTGGGCTTCATAACGAAAAATGTCACGTAACGCCTCGCGTGCAACGCGACCTCTGTGCGTACATCCCAAAATTATGCCATGACGTACTAATATGTGTTCTTGTTTTCCTGCTTATATAGATTTTCTGCAGGTTTGAATACTGTGTCAGTTGGCACGCAGCGGAGAAGAAAAATAAATTTACCGTACCAAAAATCTGCAGGCAACAGTACAATCTCAATCACTCTTGTTTCCTCCATTTTCACCCGAGTGGCAATGTCAGAGCTCGGCATCGAGCTTTTACTTGGAAAAGATAATCGACTCTACATAACAGCAGAGGAAAGATTGCTTGGCAAGGTACGTTTGCTTTTGAATGAGCACAGCAGTTTATGAACAAAAATCTGTCGTTACAAAAATTCCATGTCTGGCCACTACGAGCGCTCGTCACTACTCTACCTTGCAAAATCTTTAAAGACAAGCACATTCAGCTCAGGGAAACACGAGAAACTGGGGAAGATAAAACTCCCATATCATCATTGCAAAACCAATTTTAAATTAGTAACTACTCCGAAAAATATCCTGCATTCTGCACTTATTCACCCGTTTATAACACTTGAATGCCGAGGGTAAGTCTCCATTTTGTTGTATCATTGGAACCATATTTGTTAGAGGTCACTATATTGTGCGCTGTGTGCCTACATTTACGGATCTAGTCTTGATCAGGGCATTGCGCGAGCGACGGAGGCAGCCTACCCACAACGCTAGTCCGAGACGGGAGCAGAGCCACCGCTCGACGTAACTCCTTAGGACCAAGTTATTCCTTACCCAAATGCGGGAAAGAAAGCTCAAGACGGGCACACAAGTTGTTTCATTGCCCAAATCGATTTTATTCCACCTCATTTTGTATTCCGAATAGGGTCGCACACGTCCAGGTAGGTCCTGATAGAATCCCTTATGCACCCTTTGCTCCATACATTTTTCTTTCATTTTAATTTTCTCACTGCTTATGGTTTCAGATAAATGGTCTTTGTGGAAACTTCAACCGAAAAAATGGCGATGACTTTCAACTGCCCCCAGGATCAACGGCTGCCGTGGCATCTCAGTTTGCTCCAACGTGGAATTCTGATTCGCAGTGCCAGGAGAGTACCATCGAGAACTCCATTGACTACTGCGATATAGAGGCGGTCTATTATGACATTACAAAGTCTGAATGTCGCAAAGTAAAGAGGAAACCTTTTTCTGAATGCAACTTCAAAGTGGACACATCAAAATTTTACAAGCAGTGCTGGAACGACCGCTGCGCCGGTTCGGTGTTGAAGGGAGCCGAGTGCTTAGCCATGGCGGCTTATGCTTGGGAGTGTGCTAAAACTGGGCTTGTAATTAATTGGAGAAATCAGAAGCTGTGTCGTAAGTAGTCACGTTCAAGCGTTTTCTACACTCCTTTAGCCAATTAATCGATGGGCCTGAATATTTTGACTTGCTCTCTAAATTCCCCATAGTGAAAATTCATTCCAAGTGAAAATCAATCCTCCTGGGTATAGATTAAGATTTCACTCAAAAGTTGAAATTGTGTTGTGAAATTTTCATTAATTTTCAGCAGATTGAAACTTTTACAATGGCCTTGAAAGCACACCATTAAATATGTGCTCCTTTTCGTTAGCCATTGGTATTTAGAATACCAAACAACACCTAACGCTGTATAAAGAATTTACATAGAATTTCAATCTCTGGAAATATAGCCATAGAGTGTCCAGCGGGGATGGTCTACAAGGAGTGCGGTTCAATGTGCAAGATGTCTTGCTATGATTTGGGGAACGTCGGCAACTGTCGAGAACAGTGCATTCAGGGCTGCCAGTGTTCCGACGGAAAGGTATAACGTGATGTAGGCAAGACAACAAAGCGCTCTCACCCCTATAAAAACTACCTATTAAATTAAGCAGTGACCCGCAAGTTCAAAACAATATTCAAAATGCCAGAGTAAACAGCGCATGAAAAATGAAGTGCCTCTGAGGTCACTCAGGACCGTGTAAAAAGTCAGCCGCATCAGCACAGGTCATGCATCAGTTATCAGGTCAACTGTAATGCAGGGTATAAACAATAATCTATGACGCACAAACATAAATGAAAACATGATGCTGCTCAATCATCGGTTATTGAGGATCCGTTGGGTTTGATTTTAAACTGAGATTCACCGGTCGATCGTCACGTGCTACATCAGGCCTCTCAAGTTGATATTGGTCAACCATGCACTGCTATATTCATCTCACACCAAAGATGAGTGGGATGTAGCGAGAATTAAGTCATATCTGTTGTCAGGGGTGCTCCACTTAATAAGAATATTCCCCACAAGCAGGAAATATGTGCCGTAATTTCCAGAACGATTCAACGAACTACAGTTTTGTCGTGATCTGAAATAATTCAGGAGTTGTCATTTTGTTCGTTGCGGTGTACAAATTCCAATAATGTACGAGCCAATCTTCTAAAGAAAGTCTTAATTACTTGAAAAAGTCTACTTAAAAATAAAATTTGGTCGACGCCCTCTGCTAGCTCTTTTAACGTTTCTTAGGTTTTCGACGATGAGGAAAAGAAATGTGTACCTGTGTCAAAGTGCCATTGTTACCACAACGGGAGAATCTTTCAACCTGACAATGAATGGCGAGAGGGTTGCAATGATTGGTAAGATTAACAGATGACACCAGTACACAGTAACATATACAGTTCAACATAAATCTTGCTTTACATGATTGACACAAGTTGTCCGGTTTTTGTTCGAGTTACATTATTCGTTGCTTCTCAACACATGCATCTAGGGTGTCACAAAACACCATTACTGTTACAATAGATCATATAACTCCCTTCTTTTGAATCGAACTGGGTGCCAGTGGATAAAGAAAACATGCAACAATTTTTCCTGGACTCAGATTTTTGTGCATCTTTAAAATCTCCGCGGCGTATGAAAATCCATTTGGGTTTACTGTTTTTAAACATTAAAAATTGTCCAGGCTTCTCTGGACAAGTGAGGGCACTGTTCCAGTGATGTAAATCTGGGAAGACACTATTTATGTTAACATGTTTTCATGTTCAAATTCTTTACCCAAATTAGTTCTTTCAAAATGTATCTGATAAAAAAAAATGTTGCTCGCAGGCTTATTGCTATATGCTTAGGCCTACACAATGGCCCAGCTCCCGGGATGAAATCACTTTTTTGTTCATGAATATGGACATGTGAAAGAATATCAATAAAATTGTTGCAAAAGAAACGGGTTAACAAAACTTGAAAACAATGTTCAATGGAACACGAAGGTGCGATTGTAAGGGTTGTAATTAAATAACTGCATCGTGTGGTCCCATGAGAAGGCAAGGGAATTTGCATGTTACTGTGTTGTATCGTTACATAGCATAGCATACAAGCTTCTGCCTATTATAACTTTAATGTTTGAAAACTTAATTACAGTTTCTGCAGAAATGGTGTAACTGAATGTTCACAGGGAAACTGCACTGGTGAGTTGGAGGCGGTTAAATTTGGGTAAACTGTGGAAAGATAGGCGACCCTGTGATGCGCATGCATGATAACGTATTTTTAATGCTTTTCAGAAAGCTGTTTCTTTTAGGAAGCAGGATTTATTTCTTTTGTCGAACCAAAATGATAACACGTCGGGCTAGGCAGCTTTTTCGTTTTTGACAGAAAAAACCTAATTCTCTACTTTATTCTTGTCATGGGAAGAGAAATATGTCATTTGTGGGTCAAGCACACTCACACTGAAACAGACGTGGTCTCGTGCTATGTCTTTGGCATAGATATAGGTGACGAATGTCCAGAGGGCTTAGGAAGAATTGACTGTGTCGAGTGCGAGCGTCGATGCAGCAACATGCATCTTGATTGCAAAGCAGAGCGCTGTACGGCGGGTTGTGGATGCAACAACGGAACCGTCCGTGCACCTGATCTTAAGACATGTATCAGAGAGGACAAGTGTCCATGCTATTTCAACGGGCGAAGCTACAAACACGGAAAAAAATTCAAGAAAGACTGCAATAAATGGTAATACCTCAATATTGTTCAATGTATCATGATTTCGCAGTTTGCAACTGTACTAGATCACGCATGGCTAAATAATTACTTATTTTCAGACAACAAAACAGACATTAAAATGCAAATTTCTGCATGGTCAAACCAATGCACATACTGACCGGCTCTGTTGTGGCCTGCATCGAAATCGGGTAATGATTTCCAAGTGCCAAATTACATTTTTCAAGGCACACTTGCCCAAATCACAGTTGGCGGGCTTTTCACTTTATCGGACACACTTTCAACATCATTTGAAAGCAAAAAAAAAAAAAAATGCAATTACAAATACAAACTTCAAATAGTGTAATATATAATGTAACGCACTAAGTAATAATGGAATTATGTCAAAAACAAGTGTAGTTCGGAAGCATTTGAAAGAACTAGTATTCCAGGAAAGAAGCACGTCATTGTGTTGATTTACGTTTGTTGAAGGAAATGTATGATAGGCATTTATGAAAGTTCTCATTTAATTTTCTTTACAGCAAGTGTCTCAATGAGAAAATCAAATGCAGAAATAAAATATGTCCAGGTAAATATAGCCTGATGAAATATTGGCTTTTAAAATAAGCACATTTTAAATACCTTTTAATATGAAGAGTAGTGATAATAGTTTGATAATATACTCAGTTCGTATGTTGTATGGAAATTGTTTGTGAGTGCTTATAAGTGCTGAAATATTTGTATCTCCAGAAACAGCTGACAGCCAACAAACCACAGCAAATTAACCCTCCCCTGAAAAAAACGAGCATGAACTGCAATCCCACAAAACAAAACTTAACTTCTACGTGTTTCGTTTCTCAAACCTCAGCTACCTGCCGAGCATATGGGGATCCACATTACATCACTTATGATGGCAGCAAATACAACTTTCAGGGTATGTGCTGTACAGAAACACGTGGCTTTGTACGTTATATTGACTGTGAAATCATCGTCGTGTTTAGGAAGGGATGATCATGTCAAAATTGACCTTTGTTTCGATTTCCGTTTTTTTTCACTATATTGCTTCAAAATGTAGTATATTTAACCATTTTGGCATGCTCTTGCTAGGCAAAAACATCGTTAATTTCTAAATTGCATTAAATACAACAGGGGCAGGCATGTCCATAAATTTGTGCTCTGTTTTCAGGAAGAGACACGAACAAGCCTGACCCTGGAACACGTACAGGACGTTTGCCCAGAAAGGCGTAAGAGCGGGTCAACTGAGATTTATCATTTCCACTAAGGGATGGGCATCCTTGTTTTTTTACATTCGCAACTGCGCGTATGGACATGCGCGCAACTTCCCAATGGAAAAACACATTCAACAGAGGGGCGAAAGCGTAAGAAAAGATGGATATTTTTTTTCATGAAGAGACGCAAATCTTCGATAATTTCTGTTTGATTACCAGTGTTTATTCTAATTTAATGAGTTGGTGTTGAAGTTAACCTTTCAAAGAATCACCGGAGGGATTCTTTCGGTATAGATAGCAACGATATAAATGCGTCTTATGGAATTTCAGGCTATTCATCGTGAAAAACAGCAATAGGTGGAAAGACTTGCGGTAGCACCATACGAAGGAATATATCTCTTATGAATGTGTGTGGTTCTGAAAAGAACCCGGAGCATACTCAACGTTTGACTGAGCACGCAGTCCGAAACGTTGAGTTTACTTGCGGTTCTTTTCAGAACCACACATACACATATGGTGCAAGTCTTTCCACCTATGCCCTCGTGGACGAAAAAAATTGTGCTTCGGGAATTGAAGACAAAGACAAAATATATTAAGTTTTCAAGACGTTCATTATTTGCCCTCATGACATTGCGATGAGACGTATAAATTAGGCCTTTTGTGAGTAACCTTTGAATAAAATCTGGTACACTGAATTCTTTGAATTCACGGGAACATAACAATTTGAATTGCCCATACTAAAAACACTGTTGCTATACCTCGTTATATCCAGCAAGAAATGAGACCGAGGGATACCCCCCCAACATGTCCAATCCCTATACACATTCCAGACTATTGTTACTTAACACGTCCCCAAGATGTCTGAAAGGAATTCCCCAGATTCCTGCGAGACAATGACCAACACAACGCAGGGGGATTCTCTCCGTCTCATACCTTGCAGCATATGTACCTCGTGATGACACAAGAGACGCCTTGTAACAACACACTCCTCCAAATGGATAAGAAGGGCACAAAGGAACTAGTCCATTCATGAGATGGTGGTCGTTGTGCAAAAGCTTGCCCCGAATCATGTGGTATAGAGGGATTTCACATTAGCGTTGTCTGCGCGCATCTGCATCCAAACCGAGGCTCTCTGTGTTGAACTTCTTCGCGCCCGCCCGCCCGCGGAGTCCACACAGTACATGGAGGATCCGGTTCGTAAGCGTGATGCCACTCCAGGCTAAACAACGCCCACTGCACAAGATACACGACCATCGCAGGAACGTTTGTTCGCGGTCAATTGTCGTTGTTTTTTTCTTTTGATATTACGTGTCGAGTCATCCTGAAAGATTCTTCCTCAAAAACTTGCAGCCTGAAAAGTCTGAATTTAACATACCTTTATGTATTTGGTGTCTTAACTCCTTACTTTCAATCGTCTGATCGTATTAAGAATTGAAGCTGACACATTCAGCCTCGTTTTCAAACGCGGAAGTGCGCAGATCGACGCTAAAAGCGTCGTATTGGGATCCTTCTATAGCAACAGCGTCTTTAATCTGGGGAAATAAAATTGTTACGTTTGTGTATAACTTAGTGCACCGATTTTAATCAAATTTAACTCGCAAATAGCTTATAAGCAATGTTAAGCCCCGGCGTTGCATAGTACTATTTACCACATGGGAACCTAAATGCATGCTTGGTGTGTATGTACATGAATGTGTGTGTGCGTATGTGCGTTAACTGGCCAGCTGTGCACGGTACGTTGCTGGATTCGTTTTGTGCGTGTAAAACAGCGCTGCGTAGACGTTGTCTAAAATAACTCTTGAAAGTCGAATAAAAGTCGAGCAAGATGATCAACATTCACGTAGCATTTACTTTTCACGATTATATGGTTTTTATTCGGTTGTAGCCTTCCAGAGCACATGTACTGAATTTCAAAGTAATCTTTTGTGAATTTGCGAATGAAGTTTTCTAGTAATAAGAAGTAACGGGGGGCCCTGAGCAAGTTGCTGAGAACTTTTCGTATTGGTTACGGGGGTCTGGTCAAGTAACTGGTTTGAAATTATTATGTCCATACATCATTTAGCAGTGGAATATACACATATGAAGGCTTTACTGTATTGGTATATCGTACTTTTAATTTCCCCATTCGGGAGGGTCATGTAGCCTTGTAAAATGAATTCATTTCAAGTTAGATTAACACTACCCTAAATATACCGACTAAACATTCCCAAATGTATTTACTGATGTTGTAGTATTGGGACTCCCCCCCCTTAATCCCCCCCTTTAATTTTTTTTTTAAGGTACATGTACCTCCTCCCATTTGTATATGTTTATTCTGGCATACAGTGTCTATGCTCTTTCACGCAAGGTATCCTACCTGAACATGAAACAGCTGTGGGTGCATGTGTAAGGAGATGATGCAACTTCCTGTGGGACACTTGAGGGTGCATACCATTAATTTAAGTGCGAATTTCTGGCCAGCTCATTAGCATTAAAAGTGCCCCCACAGTATCTTTTGAAAAAGGCGATTGTTTGGCCCCCAAAATGGTGAGATTGTGTAAATCCTTGCCAGGATCAACTTTCTGGGTCTTTGAGCTTTCATATGAGAGCAGAATGGCTAAAAACTATGGTTGGAAAATGGTCTTAAGTCCCCGAGAAAGTTGAGGGTTGCCACTTGAAAAATGGCTGCAATCAGATTCGGAAAAACCACTGTTTTGGGAATAATTAAAAATGTAATTTGTTAACCCACAAAAAATTGAAAAGAAATTGAAAGATTAGTGACCAGACAAGAATTTCATTTGTGTTTCAGAAATCTCAGGGATGTTGGCGTGCATGTTATTGGGCCCTGAACAGTGCTGATTTTACACTGTTTTCAATGGGGCTTGAAAGTTGAATTAGAGGACTGTACCCTTAAGGGCATATGAAGCAAGATATGGGACGGAGAGAGCCCCCCGCCCTTGTGTTGGTCATTGTTTGATCGGAATCTCAGGAATTCTTTTCAGACTTCTAGGGGGATGATTTAGTCTACGGTGTGTGTAGGGATTGGACAGGTAAGTGGCCTACCCCTCTGTCCCATATCTTGCCTGGCATACTTGAGGGTTGCACTGTGGTGGCCTTTGTTCTGTATTTAGTTGCCCAGATTATCAGTTTTTTTGAAGTGCAATACGTTGTCGGCCATACTGCCCAACCAGAGCCAGTCCCGATTGTCTCTAGATACCAACTTTGTTTCTGGCAAGATGCATGTGTGTATTTTCAATTCCTGGAAACCAGCTTGGATAGTACTGGTTGACTTTTGGATATTGTTCCACAGGTTCAAAAAGAATGCAATTGTTATTTATATTTAGAAACTGCAAGAGATAACTCTCTAAGCCCTTTGCCATTATTTTTGTTGGAACATATTCCTTGAGGTAGCCTACTTGGCCCTGTCGGCTGATAGACATCCTGTACTACATGTATAAGCATAGAGCAAGGCTCTTTGATATAAGGTAATACACGCATGTACATGTAGATCCTATGTCACTATGTCACTCATCCTAAGCTAGAACAGCATGAGGGCACTCACGCATAACCAATTTGCAGTGAGTCATCCTTGAGCCAGGTTAGGCTCGGTATCGCTTTAGGCAAGGAAATCGATTATGCTTCCTCTAATAGCCAGATAGACTCGATACTTTTATCGATACCAGAATCGATTTTGGAGTCCTGTGTAGTTTGGGTTTTTAACCTAAGGGAAAACGGGCTTTAGAGTTTTAAATGTGTATATTCTTTAGAGAACAGAAATAAGGCGATTGATCCGGTTTATCGGAGTGAAATGGTTTTCCAAGCCAGCTTGTTATGTTTGTAATACTGATGTGTTTTTTGTATGGGTCATTATGATCCAAGCCTTTGATGACTGAACACTGACTACCACACCAAACTCAACTAGTGTCCATTTGTTTATCTTTACAGTCTCCCATTCCTCTTTAATGTACACCTTGCGACGGCTAATCCACAGTGGCCGTTGGGGGTGCAACACTGAGTTTCTGAACTTTTTGTATTTCAATACTCCTTGTTATTTTACAGGAGACTGCCGATATATATTGACAACTGATGGTTGTGACAAAGAAAAAACCTTTGAAGTAATCGTTGAAAACATTGCCTGCGGCTCAGAGGAGGTGACCTGCACGAAGGCCGTCGTATTTCATTTTTTTGACTGGGAAGTTACACTTGTGAGAGGCTCAGAACCTAAAATCACTAACTCCGATGGATACCCCAGACTGAAATGTATACGCAATGGGATTTACGACATTATCATCACCGATCGGGGTATGTTTTAGACCGTTTCCAGCTACTTTTAACTACAATATTTGTGACTCAACCGATATAAGCCAATTGTTATCAAAACAATTTTGCTTTAGGGCTGAGGACTTTTTGTTGTAACATATATGTTGTAACATATTAATGCTTGAGTGAGACTTTTTGTTGTAACATATGTGTTGTAACATATTAATGTACTTGAGTGAGTCTTTAATTAAATTTACATTTAATTCATTTTTCGGGATAAACAGGTTACGAGGACAATAACTTCTTAGTAAACAAAGTAAGAAACAGTTACTATGACTAACACGAATTCCAATCAGCTCCCGAAGGATCGCCCAAAAGAAATAAATTCTGTCAAAGGGGCTCTTCATACTAATTGAAATACAAAACACATACAACTGACATAATTAAAGTTAAATTAACCAAATTAAATTGGATAAAGACATAGAATAAGTTATCTGAATTTCATTTGCATAATTACCGATATACACAGTGTATACGTATTAACAATATAAAAAGAACAAAACTTCATTATACTAAAAACAAACAAGGGGATAAATACATGATTAGAAAGCCTGAGAGATGAGTTCTGGGTTAAACAAGTGGTCCTGTAAAGAGCGGACAAATTCATGTGGAGAGGGTACAAGACACAAATTATGGAAGCTAGAACGAAGAGTGTTGAACAACCTGGGGAAAGAAACAAACACAGAATACGGTATTTAAGGCAGTTGATCCGACTGTACTGATGACTGAAAAGCAAGACATCACTTTTCCTTGCATTTGGCACGGGAAGGAGGGTAGAGGGGGCATCCATGTCTCTGTGGAGGCATTTCACAACAAAAGCCATGCTAAAGTAGATTTACCTATTTTTGAAAGGAATCAAGAAGTAAGTTTATCTGGCAATCGTATAAAACGGCCTTTAGCTTGCAGCTTTTAGACAATTTTCCTATAAGCCTTGGTTTAAACTTTGATTTTCAGGGATAAGAGTCGATTGGGATCGGGCAACATCAGTTAGTGTCACCGTAGACGGAAAATATTACAAGAAGACCTGCGGTTTGTGTGGCATTTTTGACGATAACCGCGCAAATGACTTCACAACAAGACAAAACGAGCAAGCGTCTGTTACAGTATTTGGTCACAGCTGGAGGAAAAGTGACAGCTGTCCAATGCCCCAAGAACCTGATCATATGTGTGATCTGTTTCCAATGAGGAGGGAGTATGCGATTTCTGAATGCAAAAAGCTCATCTACCATAGCGTCTTCAAGGAGTGCCACAAAGTGGTAGGTCATATTTTTTGCATTGATCTGGCATTAAAGTCATAGAGCCTTTGAAAAACATAAACGACTTAGCAAAGAGCAAAAATATCTTATCAACCTCGGGGCAAGTGGTGCCCTCGAAAGAGCAAACAAATACTCGTGCGAATATGCTGGACTTTCTGCATACGACATATTTCAGATGGTGTTAGCAACAGAAAGTGGCAGCCCACACTTAAAATTGCGTTATCTGTCACTAATCTTGTTTATTTTTTTATTTATTTATTCATTTTAAAACGATATCAATTCAGTGAGTCTTAGGACTCATAATGATTGATTTACAAATATTAAAACGTTTAAAATTATTAATTATTAAAATTCATTCAAAACTATTACAAATTTCCAAATAAACCGCGTACCTTGTTCGATTCACATTAGTGCGCCTCCAAGAGTTTGCAACGCGTTGGCTAATCACAATGCACAAAATCTGTCGACATCCAAACGCGCTTTGGATCGACAGATTTCGCACATTACGATTGGTTAGTGTGAGTTGCAAACTATTAGAAGTGCACCATTGTGAAATGTCCGTATTCAGTCATACATTGCTCATGATATCAAAGGGACGAAATGGAAAGAGCATTTTCATTTCCACAAGTCTTCAATTATCTGAATCACTTTTTTTTAAAGATTTCTTCGAGATCCTCAAGCATATTGTATCCGAATCGCTAATCACATTTGGGCATTGAACAACTTGCCCTAGAAAGGCGTTGGCCTCATAAACATTGACCTCACCTGAAATCTGTTGTGATATACCCCGCTACTGTGGTTTTGCCAGTTTATTGTTATTATGAGATTAAAGAATATGTCACGGGGGGCATGGGGCACGTACCCCCCATCCCAGTGCCCCCACTAAAAAATGATAAATTGACATTGAACAAGACTAACAAAAGCTTGCCTCAAAAAAAAAAACACAGCACTTAAAGCTTGTGTCCCCCATTAGATGCTAGTGCCCTCCGTGATTCATACTGCTAATTTCGAATTTTCTACATTGGTTTGTTATGATTTGATTTCCCTTTTTCTTTTCCGTTCCATGGCGAAGATCGACCCTGAAGATTACTATGATAACTGTGTGTTTGACACCTGTGGCTGCAACCGAGGTGGTGATTGCGAATGTTTGTGCACTGCCGTTACAACCTATTCAAGACAATGCAGTGAACAGGGCTTGACAGTGTTTGACTGGAGATATGTCACGCCCCCAACATGTTGTATGTTGATTTGGATGATTATTAAATAATTTTGAAGGAAAACACTTCTTAGCATTAAATACTGGTTAATGAAAATTTAAGTTTGTGCTTTGAATTTGTGCTGGAAGGAAATAGTAATATTCAGGAAACACGTCGCCCGTTGAGTTAATCCATTTTCCGCTAATCGGCGATTAGGGATGAAAGTCTTAAGTTTTTTATCGCTCACAATACAGCATCCTATTTGTGCTATTCTCAAAGTCGAAGACTCAGTCACTTGACTTGGACTCGAGTTGCTATTTGTGTGACTCGTGACTTGACTTGTAACTATCAGTTTTGACTTGTGACTTGACTTGGACTTGCCCATTATAACTTGTTACCAACGCAAGTCAGGAAACTACTCAATCGAACCCATTAAAGTTTTAAATTAGGTCCATCAAATTAGGCCTTGCATTCTTAAAATAATCAGCGTAACACTTCGTTCAGCTCCCAAATTTTACTTCAGTTTTGTCTGCCCAAGGCCACGTCTGAAAGATGTGGCTGTGGCTTGAATTCACACATCGGGCGACTTGACTTGTACTTGGACAAGAAGACTTGTGACTTGCTTGTGTCTAGACGAAATTGACTTGTGACTTAACTATATTTGGACGAAATTGACTTGTGATTTGACTTGTTACTGGCCCAAATGACTTAACTTGGACTTGCAAAAAACTGACTTCCTACCACCTCTAGTTATTCTAGTTGTCTGTATTGATCACGTTCACTTTCATGGTCTTACTGTGATTCAGTTTTTCAGGTAGCCAGTGTTACTTTAGAAGATGACATTTATCTATGAATACGACCTAAGCATAATATCTCTCATGCATGTTTCAACCGCTCCTTTAGTTTGTGCACATGAACACTGGATCTACTAAATGCCAACACCCGCCAAATTGACTGCTCACTTAGGCAATTTGACCGTCAAGATTCATTTGTCAGCATCAATCTCAGCAGAAGTTGTTTCCCCTTTGTTTCCATGCCGTCTAGAAAGTGTGTTTTGCCAACATGCACGTGAAAAGAGACTTTTTGCTGCCACATCTTTCATTCAACTAAAAGAACGCGGACGTAAATTAGAAGGACGCCTAGTAGAGAGTATTTTTTTTTCATTTTTGCCGGGATTTCCTAAACATCATATATGAAGCAAACTATGGGACAGAGAGAACCCCCCGCCTTTGTGTTGGTCATTGTTATACTGGTATCTTAGGAATTATTTTCAGACATCAAAGGGGGTGTGTTCAGCGACAATAGGCTGGAGCGTGTATAGGAATTGGACTTGTGGGGGGGTACCCCTGTGTCCCATTTCGTGCCTTCCTATAAAACGTCCCTTCACTTGTAAATGATAAGGATGTAATGCTTTACTCCCGAGTGACCTTGTCGCTTTGAAATACCGGGCTGTCTCATTGGAAACCGTAATGTACGGAAGGGAACAATCACTAAGGGCTGGTATCGTGACGAGAGACTTCAAATCTGTCGTGCCGGCTTGCATGATTTAAGGTTTTCCGACCATAGATTTATCTTATATAGTATCAGATTGAAAATAAACTTTCAATTGTAAAAATATTGTTCTCTATCGTTAATATTTTAAATTGCAAAATTGATTTGATTTTGGAAAGCTTGGCCCCACATGTGCAGCCGTGAATTTTGGTGGCAATATAGACCCTAACGCACAATTCAGGAACATGCACTTAGCGGGTTCTTTATAGTGACGCATTTTTAAAAAAATGTTTTCTTCTCTCGAGAGTTTTGATGTTGTTATTTTAGTTTGTTTTCTTATTACCATTTGATTGTTGCAAATTTGTTTACATTTTGCAGTGGCATAAATTTGTGCTGGAAACTGGGAGACATGGAATGGGGCATTGTGGGGGGATATGACTTGCTTAGCCATGTACATTTGAAAAAGGGGGGATGATGGCACCATAGGACTCTATGTAGGGGCGATGTTCATGGAACAGATGTACATCTGTAACGTTAACAGCTGAACGGCGTATTTATGACTTAAAAATTGTTTTTCCTTTTCAAACGCTATTGAATACATTTGGGTTGTTGGGAAATCTGAAAATGTCTACACAAGCCGCTTTAGGTTTTTCCCACCGCTAACAAATGGGAGATGATTCAGTGACCCCTTCCCCCGGGATCTACGCCCAAGCATTTTGAGTCTTTAAGGGGAAATAGACGAACAAATCGTACACATTTGTAATTACGATGTGCATCGTTTGCTGGAATAATTCTGCAGGCAGACGGTCTTAACGTCAATAATGCGCACGCGCAAAAAGTGGCTGCACAGTCAGTTGGGCTTGAATAGACATGACATTCGTGTATAAACGAAACTATAGCCTACATCAGTCTTTTTGCGTTGTAAGTGTTGCTCCCCCTTTAGTTCTCAATTTTTGTATATTACGTTTATCCACGGACTTAAAAACATCTGGCAACGCCCTCAATAAGCACATAGCAATCAAAAATCCACCACCAGCCATTATATCGTCCTGGGTGAATAGATCTGTTCATGGCAAAAATAGTTACGATGACAAGCGAACCAAGTTAAGATATTCTTTAACATTATAAATGTGAAGTTTGGACTCAATCAAGTATATGGTTTTGCTACGGTCACCTGAAGTTCAAGGCTATATTTACGCGTGCCCCTTTTTCTTTCCTGTACTCCCCACAGCGATTCTGTGTAAGCCTCCTATGGAGTACGCTTGCAAGAGTACGCCCGAGAGCTCCTGCGTATTGGAAGAGTTAAAGATGGGAAAGAAGCTGTGGATAAATAAAGGGAACTACGAGATGAAGGGATGCTACGAGGGCTGCCATTGCCCGAACGGTACCAAGAGATTGAGAAACACCTGCGTACCTAAATGCCCTTGTATAGTGGATGGCAGGGAGGTACAATCGAGACACACTTTCGTTGATGAATGCCAGTCTTGGTAAGTACTGGCATAGGACATCTTTTGCTCAGCTGTGCCCTTATCCCAGGGATTTTGAGGTGGCAAGATGTATCCACCCTCCATTCTGATGGGGAGCTTCTCCCCTTGAGATGTTTACTCCACACCCAAAAAACAGAAATCTTCCCTTTTTTTTGGTATACGTGAAAAGGAAATTGGCTAGCTAATGTAAAAAAAAAAAAAAAAAAAGAGAATTAGCCCGTGATTACACACACGCATTTAATCAATGAATTTCCCAAGTGTTTTGTCCGAGTTTAAATGAAACCACGCATTTTCTGTATCCAAGTTGAATAGACGAGGAGGGAGTTTACGACAGCCAGTGGCGTAGCTAGGATTTTACTAGTGCGGGGCACAAAGGGGGCACCAGCATCTTATGGGGGGCACCAGCTTTCGGTGTTGTTGTTGTTTTTTGGGGAGAGGTTTTTGTTAGCCTTGTTCAATATACATTCATCCGTTTATTTTATGGGGCACCCCGAATGGGGGGCACGTGCCCCTTAGCCCCCCCCCCCGGCTACGGTACGTCACTGATAACAGCACACTAAATATAGCCCAAAATGCACTGGTTTTTAATGAAACAAAATACAAATCCCACTTTGAGCAGTATTGAAGTGTCCACGAAATATCTCTATACACGAAGTCCTCGTAATAACAAGCATTAAAAGAAAGAGAAATTTCTGTTGAAATCCAAAGCAAAATGATATAACTAACAGTGATATATGAGACCTAGCGGTGTAAGCTGGGAGAGGCAACGAAGGTGACATACACTTCTTTGAAATTGCAGTCTCAAATTATTCGTAGGTATTGGCGTATAGTCCCTGCAGATATAAAGGATTTTTCGAGCAGGGGAAGCTGAAATTGGGTATCGCTAAGGTGGTAGTTATCCGCCATGAGTTGAAGAGCACCCTTACCAACAAAGGAGGAACAAGGCTGGTGGAAAGTTTTCAACCGAGTTCGTGACCGAACCCGACGTAACAGCGAAGACAGAACATTCAAACATATACAATGGTTGTGCGTACATCGCGCGCTCAGCGACGATCGCGCATTAACCTGCACGTTCACTCAGATAGTTCCTACCGTAGGAACGTCTTTTTCATGTAGAAACATGCCCTAGGTTGTTATAACTCGGAGCAGATAGTCTCAGCGAAGTTAAACCCATTGGCTTCCCTTTACTTTACGTGTGTTGGTCAAACAACATCCAGCGGACCATGCTCTTGAAGTACACACTTCGGGTGAAATTGACGTAAAATCATCTGCTAATAAAAAAAGCAGGTCTTTCCACTCAAACTAAAAGCGAGTCCAGTTGCCTCAGGTTGGTTATACGGAAAGTATATTTGCCTTGTTTAGGATGGCTGGGAAGACCCTATTTTTCATAAATCAATGCACCCCATTGTATGTTAATAACTGCACAATCGACTTTTATTTTGCTTTTGCTTTACTTTTCCTAGCATATGCAACGACGGCAAATGGGACTGCGAGCATAGTCCTTCATGTACACCAGGTACTGTTCCTGTCGCCCTTGCTCAAGTTGTTTCCAGTTGTTGTGGCTATTTATTTTTATAGTTTTTATAATGAAAGAGAACATTGTTATTTGAAGTAGTGTTGCAAAAGTGTGACCTTGGTGTTTTAACTCCAAAAAGTCATGAGATGGCAAACTGGTTCTTAGCTTCAGCTGGACACTAATTCGGTTCACACCTTGTCCTCTGAAGTTATGGCTACGGACATTTTCTCAGGTGTATTCATAACTATGAAGGTATTTCTATCTATGACCATCGCGAGCAACAATCCTATATACAAGGTAAAAAAGTCAACATCAATCTGTCGAAGGATCTTAATGTTTGATTTTTCTCAGAAAACCCTCTAAAATCAGTATGACTATAACTTCCTGGTATAAAGAGGGATTTTGGCATACATGCAAAATATTGACTTCAAAAATGTCTTTCTTCCAAAAAGCATGAGATCGACTGAAATCAGAAGGCTCCCTTGCACATGCACATTCATACACAATGTTTGAACGAGTTGAATCGCGGGCCAGTGTGGTTTTCAAAATGCCAGCCTTCTGGTTTTTGGTCTGAATGGTTTTTACTTTCTGATTTTTAGGTTTTAATCGTTTTAATCTATAAAAAGTAATGCCTTGCCAGAGCAACATGTAACTTTCCCCTATTGTTCAATAGGAAAAGGAATTTTATTATTTTCGAACACCTACAAGCGGTTTGTTGTCTGCATAGAAGTTTACGTTATGACGAAGCTGCGATTTCGAAATGAGGCTGGTCTTTGCACATGCGCAAAGTGTCAACTATGTTAATCAGAATCATTTATTACACTCGCAAAGCAGACCTCTTAATTTCAAGGCGAAAGTAAATTTCTTCAAAGTCAGAAATATTATTGGCGCCATTGAAGGGTATATTGAAGAAAAAATGAGAGAATCTGAGATAAAATGATTAGGTAATTTGTGCCTCTGTTGGCCTACATTGAGCCGCTGACGCCTTTTGCCGGCATGGCCAGTTGTGCGCATGCAAGCATAATTATTTATTCCGTAGGCCTAGTTAGAAAGTCTATTGACGATAACATATCAGCTTATGACAGTTAAAAGCTCGTTGGGAATTAATAAGGGGAGCGCATGACGTCCTGGATTGGGAATGGAAATGTCGTTCACGTTGTGGTTTAACTTTTCTTAGTATTCCCTGTATCGAACAAGGACGTTTTGGTCACCCAATGGAATAAAACACATTAACCCTAACTCCCTAGGGTGTGCACACAATTATATTAAAATTGGAGGATTCAGGGCTGTTAGGGTTAAGGACTGGTTGACCAATGTAGGCATATATATTACAGTTCCCTGGAACTGGACCAGATTTTTCTACAGTATTTGGTGGTTTGTTCCAATATGTCTTTTGCTCAAAATGAAGATATACATTCTTCCAGAAAATAGGCCTACTACGTCTACGCCAACGGTGACTACGTCAGGTCAGTCATTTTGGACTTACGAACAAAGAAAATAGTGTCCTTTCATTTGGAAGAATAAATGGTGCATCATTTAATTTGAGCGATGGCTCAAGTTGTGCTTTCTGCCTCCATGGCCATTTGTGCGCATGCAAACAGAATTATTAATTCGTTAGTTAAAAGGTCTATTGCTGTTTAAGTACGGGGTTATGACGCAATTTACGTACAATGTTGTAAACATGTAGCTTAGGGGGAGTAGGTTAGCATGTTAACGTAGCGGTTCTTTCCTCTCTTTCCACCAACGGGGCCCGGGTTTGAGTCCTTTCTTGGCCCAGGCTTTAAAAACATCTGGTTTCCCGTCCATACTCGCTTTCGTAGGTTTTTTCGGGGTACTCTGGTTTCCTCCGGCCTCTAAAACTGGCCCTTTTTCGTAACTCCGTTATGTGATGCTGATCAATAAAGGTTATGAATAAACGTATAGTTATTGGCGAAAAAAGCCTCAGTAGCTGAAAATTCCATAAATAAACGATAACATTTAGCTTCTTTTGTATTGCTTCTCTCTTGAACAATGACCACCACAACACCAATTGTGACTGCAACATGTGAATACATGAAATTAAAAAATAGCACTACACTCGATGGAAATTCCCTTTTTAGCATTAAATTTCAATTGCCTTCAAAACGCTTTTTGAAAATAAATGGTGTGCGTGCTCTAAAGTTCATTGGATGGGTTGCACCGGGTTACTTGACAAGTTGTCTGCGAAAAATGACTATTAACAAAGCGTTTACAAAAACTGGGAGAGTACTGAATAATATTCGTTTTCGGGAACGTAATCAAGCCATACCTTATAAAGGGCTGGGGTGGAGGGTCAGGGTATTTCCAAGGTTCAAGAGTGCGCACAGCCAATTCATGAATTGTCTCTTCGTTTTGACAAGAGGTATATAGGCGAGTTTCTAAAAGAGTTAGGAAAAAATGTAATTAATAGCAGTTTCACGGTGTAGAATTTACATTTTCCACGATTCAAAATTGTGCATTATACAGAAAAGCAAATTATGGTCTTCATAAAGGGCATGACCTAGTTAGCTACAGTGGTTTCAAAGGATATCATATTTTCTTTAAGTAGAGAGTTCATCTGACATACTCGGACAAACTAAATTTTTAAAAATGCCCTTCAGATAAAAATTGATTGTTGGAACGTTTTCTTATGCTTACAGTGACATAACATTCGTAGAAAAAACATTTCTGTTTAATTTTAGGATGATGGACGCACATTTAGTTTTGTTCAACATCTAAAATTACACAATTATGTTTGAAATAGTCAATTATAAATGAGATTTCCTTTTACAAAGAACTCTTTCGGCATGGCATATGGCCCTTCTAATTTGTCTGAAAAAAAGAAGCAGTAAATATTGGTAAGATTTTGGAGGAAAGAAATAATAATTGCACAAACCTTGACCCGGTGTCTCAAATTTGGCTCCAAAAAGCTTTTATTTAATGCTCTTATGCTCATATCAGCGCTCGCAAACACTTAACTCTGAGAAGAGCTCTTCTTTTCTTCTGTTCATTTGATGGCATATGCAGAGAGTGATATCTTTTATTTCTAATGAGGAAATCAAGTCGAGCAGAAATACTTTTCAATGAAATGGTGCAAGCAGAAATTCGCTCTTTTCTGGATTGGGATTATCTTCCACATTTTTGTATGGTTTATCGGCGAGGCCGCGTGACTTTAAATCAGGTTTTTTCCACGTCCATAGAATGGAAAACTGGAGAAACAGAAAACATAGACTCGTGTTTGTCCCGGCATTTATTTCAACGTTACAAAGGTTTGGTTCGTACTCGTTTAAAAGTTCATTAGGAATTAAGGAGAGCGCATGACGTCTTGGGTTGAGATTCAAAATATCTTTCATACTGTGGTATATATATTTAAATATATATATTCTCTTAGTTTTCCCTGTATCAAACAAGGAATTTTTGATAGCACTGCAGTTTTTTCTGTTGACTGATCCCACGGGACGAAACACATTAAGGGCTAGTTTTCCAATGTAGGAATATATGTACTACGGTTCCTTGGAACAAGACCAGAAATGTCTACGGTCTTTGCTGGCTTGTTGGAATACGCACTTTGCACCTAATGAAGATATACGTTTTTCTTTTTTTCAGGAACTACTACATCCACGTCATCTGTGACTACGTCAGGTCAGTTTGAAAGAGGATATTTCCATTCATTTGGACGAAAAAACCGGCCTTGCATCGTTTAATTTCAGCCATGTACAAATAAATGAAATTTCTGACCTCCTTAATTTCTATTGTGAGCTGAAAATGGAATGGAATGTCTGGCAGTATTTAAAGATATGTGTATGGATAAAGTATAACTGTTATTTCATTGGGAACAACTATGAATAAACAAATATAGTTTTTATGGGGAGGACGGGAAACATTTTAAATTTCGACAAATGAAGTGGTGCAAGTTTAAAAAACATGCTTGCGTCACTCCAAACTATACCGTCCGTAGAAAAGTCATGGTTCATCATTTAAAATAATCTGACCAGATGTTGAGTTTCAGATAATATCCTTCAGTTTGGCCTAAAGTTAACCACCCCTGACACGTCACCGATATGCTGAATATTTTGTTCATGTGGTCGCATACTTATAATCAGGCTGCTTTTGAAAATCCTCTGAGCATAAAGAGAGCGCAGTAAGAAAAACAGAGGACATGCATCTTTTATGAGAATGAATTAGTGGTAAGGAGGTTCCGGGCATAGAGTCCTTTAGGACATTCAGACGTCAATGCCATTTAATTCATTTTCATATGCCATTCAATCTATGTTCATGACAGTTTTCTCGTACACAATGGCCACTACAACCACAGTTCTATATTCATCAGAATTTGTCTGAATTAATTTTCTTATCTAAAGCAAAAAAAAATTTCAAACTAACATGAAACTCGTTTTACTTACGTGACATTTTATCTGCCTTCGAAAGATTAAATCGAAATCATTTAATTGGATGCTAATGCTTCCAAGCTAAAGAGATGTATTTTGCCATAGTTGGCAAGCTTTTCCCCGGGTAAAAGGAACTTCCCGCTTTTCTGAAAGCATAGCAGTAATGGAGGTCTCCAAAATATGAGCCTCAAGATGTCCTCAGGTTATCTCATTTTCAGTCTTTTTCTTTCGCCATGTCAAAGGGGTGTGTGTTGTATTTCCAAGTTTTACTGCAAAGAAGACCCTTCATTTCATAACCTAACTTTGGTGATTAATTGTAACGTAGGAAAAAGATAATCTATGACTCGCGGTGTCGTGTTGCTGGTAGCGACGTTTCGGCTGATGGTGCTGCTAGCCTTTATCAGGCAGCTGAAGTCTGGATGTTGCAGAGTCCGCTGGACCGCGTCCGCCGCGTGCCACCCGTGGGCGTAAGGACGCGTGTCCTCGGTGTGGCTCCGTTGCACTCCGGTGCTCCGGTGGTTGTGTTGGCGTATGGTGGGGAGCCAGAACCTAGGGATGTCGATGCCGCTGTCCCTGTTGATGTTGTGTCCATTCAGGCGGATGTGGATGGCATCCTTGACCCGTCTTGTGTACCAATGCTGGTCTTGGTCCACGCACTGCACGTTGTCCCAATTGGGGTGGTGACCAGCTCCCCAGGTGTGCTCGGCTACCGCTGACGACTCCACACGGGAGAGTCTCATGTCGCGCTGGTGCTCCTTGATTCTCTCGCCGATTGGTCTGCCAGTTTCGCCGATGTATACCTTGTCACAGTCACCGCATGGTATCCTGTAGCCACTCCTCTGCGTCTTCCGGGTGGGATTGGATCCTTAGGACGCAAGAGTTGGTTCCTCAAGGTGGTGGATGATCGGAACACGGTGCAGACGCCGTGGTCCTCCAGGATCCTCTTCAGCCGTCCGGAGATATCGTCCACAAAGGGAAGAACGGTGAAAGCCTTGTACTCCGATCGCTCCACTTCGGTGCTGGAAGTGGGTCTTGATGACTGCCGGATGAAGGATGTTGGATACCCGGAGATCGGAATCTCAGGAGTTATTTTCAGACATCTAGGGGGATGTGTTAGGTAACAATAGTCTAGAGTTTGTATAGGGATTGGACATGTGGGGGGACCCATCGGCTCCATGTCGTGCACGGTATGTAGTCGCATACTTTAAAATCAGACTGGTTCCAAAATTCCTCCGAGCACACTGAGAAAAAAAAACAGAGGAGAGGTAATCATGACGTGAATGTCTAAAGAGGTTTCGGGCACAGATACCTAAATGACAAAAAAGGAGGAGCAGAAAGGTGCTCATGTGGTGGATAAAGACTAACATAGCTGTGTAACTGGTAACTCATTCTTTTTGATTTCCAGAATTAACAACCCCGTACAAGGAGTGTGACGACGATCTTGATTCTGAGTTCAGCGTCATTAATGTCACCCGCTTTGTGTCCGGGAATCGTAGCCAACCAATTGATCCCGTTGACTGGTGGACTCCCTCGAGTCCACCGTCATCAGTATCTTCGCCTGAAGGCACATCATACCTGCTTGTAGAGTTCGCACCAAATGCCAAACTGACCCATGTTCAAGTGAACGCCAGTGCAGGTGACGGGATAGCAGTCAACGTGACAGTTGTCTTCAGGTACCGGAAGGATGGAAGCAATTTTAACTATAGTCAAACACTTCAAGGAGAATCAGGAAAGGTGAAGTTATTTCAAACACTAGACTATGTGCAAAACGCCAAGGTGTATCACCATGTTATAGATTCCAGGGACGGCTCCAAGTTAAAGATAACATTCTACGGCTGTGAATCCACCCGTAAGTTTTCATTTACCTCTTTTAAAAAACGATTTCACTTTTAACACAGTAATTTTGTTTTCAAAATGATTCAAATGATATTGATCAGTAGCGTATCAGTGGGGGGGGGCAGATTTTTTCACAGACTACTCCATAGGTGCCAGGAAAGAAAGTAATCGGTATATTTATTTATTATATTTATATTAGCACCAAAACCCAAATAAAACAGCACCGGCAAATAAAAGCAAGGATGTCGTGACCGTGAGCAATGTTTTTGATATTTTTTCTAGCTAACAACATGATGAATGAACCTTACGCCACATTCGCTTTTGGATTTGCCCTGGCACCAAAAGCTTGATACGCTGCTGATATTGAAGAATTCGAGTCAATTTTCCCATCCCGAATTTAACTCACATACTGACGATGAAATGAACAAAGGATGATAGTTTCAACCCCGTAACCCTTCTCCCGAACCACTGTTGAGGCTGGTATTTCACACGATTTTAGTTTGATGTTATTCACAGGGCTTTTGTTGTCACATGCAATAATTTTCGGAACAAATATGATTTTCCCCTCTCTTCTTACACCTGCTTGCAGAAATCCCTGCAAAATGCCAAGCTGACCCATATTAATGTGAAAGCGCATGTTGGTCGCTTGCACATCTGAGTTAATCAATGTTGTCGAATACTTTGTATCTTTCCCAGCTTTGCCAACACCACCCATACCTCCTCCCGGTGAGTAACATTTTTTCTTGGCATTAATATGTTGATAAATAAATATTTGAACGTCTGAAAACAGACAATGACAGTCGCATAATTGTAGGTAAAGTGAATAATCACCTTCCCCTCGTTTTGGCTTTCCTATAAAACTCTCCTTTGTCTTTACCAAATTTAACTTATCATAATTTGTAAAGATCTAAACAAGCAACTGATTTTTGACACGATTTGTGTCTGCAAACCTTTTACAATATTCTGTCTACCTTCTACAAAATACCTCTTTCTGATGGCAATAGAATTTTCGTCAGAGCTCTGATTGCGCTGCATATTTGCACAAAGTCTCTACTTCCGAAATTTCAGTCTAAAAAAGGGTGATTTGTTCCAATTAGGGGAGGAAGTATAGTACGGAAAGTTAGCGTTGGAGTATTGTTTAGCAATGTTTGAAAGATATATGTTATTAAAATCCCAAATTAAACTTTGGGATAGAGAGTCAAAAAACCCTTTCCACTTTTCATCCATCACTGAGAACTGCAGTTGAAGTTAACTGTCTAGATAACCCTCATAAATACTGTATAAAGCCATTTCGTTTTTCCCTTTGATCTTTATTATTAATAAGAGTTGATAAGCCTGTTTTGTTTCACTTGAACACAGCGTGCCCTCCTGGAATGCGACGTACCCCTTGTGACAATCCGTGCGTCAGGTTTAAGTGCAGCGGCTACTGCTACTCTAGAGTGCTTTATGATTTCACTACTGGTAAAGACTATTGTTGCGCGTGTCAAGAGGCCTCAGGCATGAAGAGCTCGAGATGTAGAGATGATTGCTCGTGCCCGAACGGAAAGGTTATGGAGAGGGTACAGGTAAAATGCCATCTGAGAGGGGTTTCCGTTAATTTGCGTTTTAAATATTCAAACACCGTTTCGTATACATAAAACAATCTGACGAAAGGCAAGTGGACACCCTCTAGTCTTTTCACTACATTATTTGAAACGACACAAGTCCTGTATATCACGGAGAACATAAACAGTCCGCCGTGAGCGCTTGATAGGAGGTGGATACACTGTAGATTTTACCGCGATTGTACAAGATTGGCCCAATTAAGAAGTACAAGATTTATTGCAGTCTTCACTGCACTGACTTGTTTAATGTTCGAGCTGCTTTGAGAAAAACCTTTCTCTCCCCTACTTTCCCTCTTTGAGCCTTTATAGAACCATTGATTTTTTTGGGGGGGGACATCATTGAGCAGTGAAGGTACTGCGGTCATTTGAAGCAAGATATGGGACGGAGAGAACCCCACCCCCGCCTTTGTGTTTGTCATTGTTTGATTGGAATCAAGAGTGTGTACAGGGATTGGACAGGTAAGAGGTGGGGGTACCCCTCCGTCCCATATCTTGCCTGGTATAACTGCGGTCCACTGGCGCCTCTTGGGTACAACACGATGAGTATGTGCATGTTCGATCGCGTTGATTCTTCATGACCGTTGATGATTCATGATGTTTGCATCCGTTTCTGAGTCAATGAAAATCTAAAATCCATTCTCAGTTTACTAACAAATCATTATGGATACAGAGGAATTATATCTGAAAACGTATAGGAGGTTTAAGGTCTGGAAATCGCAGTTCTTCTTTAACCAATCTCCTATCGCTCTGCACTGAGCTAGGAACCGGCACCGATGTTACACTTTGGGCCATACCATTATGTTTTGGGGGTGATATTGATATTGCAACATTCATTTTTGCGTTAAGAAAATTCCTTTTCTTAGATAAAATCTAACTTCGAACCGATCCAACTTTTCTTCTATTTGGTACCTTACACTTATTTTCCTTTTCTTAAAGTTTTCAATGCGTTTTGTGAATTTCTGCCGGTGTGTTTGCTGCTTTAGGTATTACCCGTTTATAATGATTCCTAGGCCTACAACATAATGCACAATAAGAATCGGCGTCTGTAAACGAATACAATATTTTAAAAGAAACGAATTTTCAAACAACGGTCGCACGACCATGGTGAAAAGGAAAAAGGAACAAAATGTCAGCGTTCTCGAAAACGACAGCAGTCTGCGCAGAAATGTGTTCAGATTGACTGAGGCAATCAGTCCTATTTCTGTGATTTTACCGACGTCGTATCTTACCTTTCTAAAGTTTTTAAACGATTTTAGAAACCGTCTAAAGTGAGGTTTACCTTTTCTCGAAGCACAAGACTTGCAAGAAATGCAGCTGCACGAACAATACCTGCACCATCGTATACCCAGGTTGCATTACAACAACTTTGCCAACTGGTAAGTGTGATCGGCCTTTCTCAATCTGATTACTAGGAAGCTATGCAAATGCCATGCAACTTGCTGAGATCTTCACGTGTATGCGTTTCATCTCAGGATGAGGACGCATTACGGACCACGTGTTAATATCAGAATGGCAGAATCTTGAAATTGAGATGCCAGCATCTCTATCTGACAACGTCCCTGATGTAGGATACCAACATCCTCAGATAAATTATCTCTGAATGACATCATCGTGAAGTCAAGACATCGGAATGTCCACTATAATTTCTGAATGGCCACTTGATCCGCATGCCAACACCCCCCGATAAAGTATCGAACACTCTCAGGATATAATCATTCCTTGGAAACCTCAAAAAGATGTCAACATCCCACATGTAGGATGCCATCATTGCCAGATAAACTATATAGGAATGTCGCCATAACGGAAAATCTGAAGACACCCTAACATTTTCAGTGATAACAATACCTATTTATAGGTAATTCCCAAAAGTAGGGGTCCAAAAGGGTTACATGTTTTTGTCCCTATTACATCTGACCTTATCACCGGAATTGATTCCAAACGAATATTTTTGTTTGGCAGATAATTTGCATTAGTTTTTCATCACTCTTTGAAATTAGAAAATGTGTTCTGAACTTAAAAATCATGTCAGATTGGACAGGAATACGAAAAAAAAATGGACCCCAAATTTATGAAATTACCTATATGCCTGGGGTATCTGGACTAAATGTGGACCATGCAGTAAACGTAAGCGATCAAAAGAGAGTCTGCGCCACTTTCACGAGACCTAATTGAAATAACAAGGCATGCTTTCACCTTCAGAATTTGATAACAAAGAGATGCTGCAAGGAGCCACCTTTTTTATCTAAATCTCGTCATGGGGAAAGTTGAGGATAAACTGAAGGTATTGCAGAGGAATGTTCCTGGAATGAAGTTATCAGTATTTGTATACACATTCTCCCCCTACCCCAACCCCCCTTGCGGTTTTGGGCAAGCAGGCCACTCGAGGGCACCTGGTAACGGAAGAGCCACAGGCAAAGGACTGCACTCCTTTATTCCTCATTTGGAAAAAAAATACACGTCGTCCCTTTCATAAAACACAAAGTTTCTTTGGATTGTTTTCTGTTGCTGGAAAGCTACGGTCTTATTTCAGGCGAATACAACTTTATTTGTATTTTATCTGGCAATGTTACTGCACAAAAGGACATTAACAAGAACAGATCCTGTACTACCCTGTATCTCAAACAATCTTGCTGTATTTTTTTTTCATTAGCCAAAAACTCATTGCATATTGTACGGGAAGTTAAGCATAATGCTGCTTTGTATTTTGTTAATATCTTTTGATGTAAAATACTGAAAATCTGTTATCGCAATCATGATCAGACAATTTTGGCAAGGGAACCTTTCAAAAATATGAAGGTGAATACTTCTAGTTTTGAATTCAAAACTTAATAGGTATGGAGGTATTACAAGGGGCAGAGGTAACACAACGTGTACATTTAATGAGCAAGTGAAGCAAAATGTACATATTTATACAAAGATTTTATTTTTTTCCCAAAGAACCATCTGATTCAGTCTTCCACGCGTGACACATGACCACAGAGAAAATGTGTTGAGTGATCTGAGGTCAGTCTCTGGAAACCGCAAACCACTTAAAAAACTGACCATTGCAAAATTCCTCCAGATCTCCCCCTCAATAAATGCACAGCTACTTGCGGGGAAATTGCGGGGAAAGGATTCACTCTCCCCACAAGTTTACTGCAATTGATCCCGGACAAGATTTTGAGATACTGAAGGGTGGCATAAACCCAATTTTGAGTGCTTGATTGTTTTCATCATTTTAAGGTTCACTGTACGAAACGCTTTGCCGGTGTATGCTGAATTTAACCTTTTCGATTTCTTTTACAAATTTGGACATTCTTTTTGAGAATTAATTAATTATTG